AAACAAAAAAAGGCAAACATAATGTCTCATTCCATTTGTGCCGGAATGCTGGGATTCCCATTTGATTAATACTGGATGGAAAACTGATAAACACCCTTGCCACTTCCTGACAATAAAGCACACACATCATCAATTGACTGCCGTGTTTTACCCACAAAATACACCGTCACTACACTTTATAATGTATTCTGTGAAGCGCTTCGAGACATCTCAAAGACATGATAAGGAGCTATATCAAATGTAAGAATTATTATTATTATCCACTTAAATGTGTGTTTGTGAATGAAATTATGATTTTCCCATGTGTTAAGCTTCAGCCCTGCATCAGTTTCTTTTATTTCATTCATTTTCTTCCTTAGGATTATTCCATTGTGTGTTTTTTAGACGGTGGTTTCAAAGAAGACTTTAACTGTTGATTTCAAGAAATATAGCCACAATGACAGAGAAATCTCTATTCCATTTATGTTAATATATGTCACATTTTGCAAAAGTAACATGGTTTCTGACTTTATTTTCTGTATGTATTGTCCTTGGTCGTGTGAATTTATAATAGTATTGTGTACTTGTTCTGTTTATCTACTAATTTTAATTGATTATATTAAAATGTACAGACCTTTATGAAAATATTCTTTTTTTCTTCTTCAAGCATGGTTAACCTGCTCAACAGATTATATGGAAGCAACAATTAGCAAGTCCTATCTCTACTCACTGGGTTTTAATGAGTATGATGTTCATCTTAATGATCCATACTGCAGACCAGATATAACAAATAATCATGTGATATTCAAAATGCCACTCAATACATGTGGTACAATACGGCAAGTAAGAAAAATTAGATACTATTCTGATTATCTTCTCATCTCATCGTGTTGTATGGCAAATGGGAACTATGTACTATTATCCTGATCAGGGTTATCCAACCTTTTGGCTGCTGAGGGCGGGGTGCCCTGTTTGAGAAATAATGGAGAGAGAAATTAGAAAAAATAATTGGACACTATTTAAAAAAAAGTGCTGATCAGATGTTTTTCTAACCTATTTTGTTGTGTATTCATAGGCAAACAATGACAGTATCACTTATTCCAACACCATCAGAGCTTCGCCTTCTGCAACTGTTCCACCTAATTCAGTTATAACTCGTGTAACAAATCTACGAATTAACATAGGCTGTCAAATGGAACAGGACACAATGATTAAAATAATGTACTTGACTGAAGATGACATAGTAGTAAATGAAGCGGAGACTGGCAAGTTTAATGTCAGGATGACTTTCTACGACTCTCCATCATTCACCACACCAGTGCTAAATACACCTTACTATGTGCATCTCAGTCAGAAACTATATGTACAAGTGAACCTGAACAGCTCTGACAGTAATCTGGTAATTTTTGTGGACACGTGTACAACATCTCCTTCTTACCATGATTGGACCTCAAAGACCTACGATCTAATCAAGAACGGGTAAGAAGTGTCAGTTGTAATAATAATCTTTGCATTGATATAATGCCTAAAGTGTTAAATTTGGTTTAAATTGCTTCACAAGAGTTCTGCAGTTTTACTGACTGCATATTGCTAAGCAAATTCAGTAGCCAATTTGCACCGAATAATACAGAATCATAGAATCCTACAGCACAGAAGGAGGCCATTTGGACCATCGTGCCTGTGCCTGTGCCGGCTGTTTGTAAGAGCTATCCGATTAGACCCACCTTACCCCACAATTTCCCATAGCCTTGCAACTTTTTTTCTTTTCAAGTAAATATCCAATTCTCTTTTGAAAGTTATTGTTGAATCCTCTTCCGCCATCCTTTCAGGCAGTGCATTCCAAACTGAAACTTACCGTAACTATTATTTATACGTTCACCATGAACAGTAACATTTTCAATAAAGAAACATTTTCATACAGCAGGGTTTCTGATTGTAATATTTGACTCTTTGCATTGTAGGTGTGTGCGAGACGATACTTATCAAACGTATTCATCGTCATCCAGAAACATTGCTCGCTTTAAATTTAATGCCTTTAAATTCCTGGACCTGAATTCCGCAATCTACCTGCAATGTAGAATTGCTGTCTGCAAAGCGTATGATTACTCTTCTCGGTGTTACCGTGGGTGTATTTCCCGACAGAAAAGAGATCTAAATCCTTCAGCTGAAACCACTGATGTTGTGATAGGACCCATTCAACTGAAAAAAGATCAAAAATCCAATGAAGATCAAGGTATTTTCCAAATATCCTTGAAAAGTAACAATAATTTCACATTTATATTGAACCTTTCATGTCTGCAGAGCATCTCAAAGTGCGTCGCAAAATCTGCTAGGAGCTCGAGCTGGGATTGGGTGGGAAGGAAGGGGTAAAAGGTGACCAAAAGCACGGTTGAAATGAAAGGTCTTAATACGAGCTTCAAAGGTGAGGAGGAAGTTCCAGGTAGTGAGAGGCAAAATAGCTGAATATTTGTCCACCAATGGTGGGGCGGGTGAGGCAGGAGGCATGAAGCACCCAATAAAAGAGGGAGCATCTGGAGTGGTAGTCATAGGAGCTTGCAAGAGGTGAAGCGGGGTGAGGCCATGCAGAGATTTAAACACGATAGATCTAAAAAGCAATAAGTTCAAGAAACTTGAGTCTGCAGGATGGAAACAGTCCAGCTTTCAATTGTGAATCACTGATAAATTGTGTTTTAAATGTCTTACAGGCCTGCAAAAGGAGGAGATAGTTGTCAAGGAAACCGACCAGTTAAACGTAACTTTTGTCCTGACTTTTATGGTTTTGGCCGTAGTTTCTACAATATTGATTGCCATGGTACTAAAACGCCACAGCAACAGGCAGACAGGCTACGCATATCAACAGCTGTGAGGCAACCTACCCAGCATTGCCAGCCACAGAATGTCCTTTAAACATATATTGAAATCAAATCATGCATGATTCATGTATCTTAGCTTTTGAGTAATTCTATCAGTAAAGATTCACAAGATCATCACATTTAACAGTATACCAATTGAATATCAAACAAATGGCATGGATAAAACTCAATTATTTAAGGTTCATTCTAATACAATAGACAACCGTGTCAAATTAAATTGGAATGATTTACACTGCTGCAGTGCCTCAATAAATGAAAGTCATCGTGGTCCATTTTGTTTATAATAGGATCAGAATATTTGAAGTAAGTTGTTTATTCTAATTACGTGTCACATTCTGCAATCCGTCTGTTAATGAATAAATTACTTATGATAATTAGAAAAACAATAAATATTGATTTTGTTGCATCAAAGAATGGTTATCCACTTTATTGAACTCTTGTAAGAAGCTGAGTACCAAAGATTTATGGATAAAGTTGTAAAATCATCAGGGGGGAGGGGGTAGGGAGAATCTTATTTCAAGCCTTGTTTCAGGATCCCATCTAACCATGTTAGACCTCTCTCTCCCCATCCATTTATGTTCTTCTATCCTTTGTAGAAACAGAAATTATTCTCATCCGTTTCTAAATCCCCCAAATAAAATTGGTCGCTCACTTCATAACTGTTTGTGTGACAACTTCTGTGCGCAAATTGGCTCCTGCATTCTCCCACAAAATACAGTCACACGCTTTATAGTATACTCTGTGAAAACCTTTGAGACTATAGTATAGTAATCGAATGCAAGGATTACTATATGAGTTAAGGTAATACCTATGTGTGAGTCTGGTTTATCGACCGAAAAGCAGTGAAACAAATGCTGTTCTTCAAATTTAGTCTGTGGCAGCTTGTGAAAAAGATGCCCCTCGTGATTCTGCTAAGATACTGCAAGATAAAGGAATGGTTTAGATAAAGGAACGATCCCGTCACAGAGCAACAATAAATGTCTGCACATTAAAATTGGAAAGTTACAAATGCTGTAGGTTAAACGGGCAAATAATAAGTTCACAAAGGACACCATACAAACCTGAAATGGTACATCATCAACCCAGAAGTTATCAATAATATTAATAACAAATCTTTGCCCTCGATACAAGTGCCTTCTCACCTCTTCCAGGCGTCTCGAAAGCGCTTCACGGGACCCGCTGTCAAGTGTAGTGACTGTAGGTGTTTTGGGGGCAAAAGGCGACGGGCAGCCAATTGCGCGCAGCGGAGACGTCCCCGCAAACAAGCGGTGGATTGAAGTGACCAAATTATTATTATTATGATGATGTATATATTTATTTTGAAGGGATTATTTACCTTCGGAAGAAAAGCGACCCCTCGACCGACTAACAACCGGGTTCCTACTCACTGCTGGTAAACAGAGGCCTGTCTGTGTGTCTGTGTGTGTCTCTGTGTCTGTTTGTGTCTGTGTGTGTGTCTGTGTGTGTCTCTGTGTCTGTCTGTGTCTCTGTGTGTGTCTCTGTGTGTGTGTGTCTCTGTGTGTGTCTCTGTGTGTGTGTGTCTCTGTGTGTGTGTCTGTGTGTCTCTGTGTGTGTGTGTCTGTCTCTGTGTGTGTCTGTGTGTCTCTGTGTGTGTGTGTCTGTGTGTGTGTGTGTCTGTCTCTGTGTGTGTCTGTGTGTGTCTCTGTGTGTGTGTCTGTGTGTGTGTGTCTCTGTGTGTGTGTGTGTCTGTGTGTGTCTCTGTGTGTGTGTCTGTGTGTGTGTGTCTCTGTGTGTGTGTGTCTGTGTGTGTGTGTGTATCTGTCTCTGTGTGTGTGTGTGTCTCTGTGTGTGTGTGTGTCTGTCTGTCTGTGTGTGTGTGTGTCTGTGTGTGTGTGGGGGCAGGAAACTTGCTATCGTTCGTTTGTTTGTTTATACAGTACATTTACATAATAAATGGGTTAAAAAAAACCCAGAACAACCCCTGAGTTTGAAGCTTTCCCGCCCTGTCAGTGCGAGGCGCCACCCGCCAAACACTCCCCCCACCCCCCGCGCCCCGGAACAAAACCACAGCGCGGGCCCCGCACGGCGGTTCCACAAGCGGCTGGTGACCGGGTGGCACACGGGCTCCGCTTCCGGTTCCGGTGCGGGCGGGAGCGAGTCGCCCGGAGACCGACGGGTGCCGAGGGGCGGCGGGGAGGCGGCTCCGAGGCCCCGCGAGCGATGGCGCTGAGTCCGGCCGCCGCCGCCGCCCTCCTCAGCAGCTCGTGGCGGTGTGTCGGTGAGCGGTTGGGCTGCGCGCTGCGCCTGGCGGCCGCCCGCGCCGGCACCGAGCAGCCGGGCTCGGGGGAGAGCGGCGAGGCCGAGGCCGAGGCCTGGGGACGGTAGGTACCCGAGGCCGGGGCTCCGGGCACGAGCACTGAGCGCGCGCGGGTCAGAGAAGGGGGGTGGGGTGGGGTGGGGGGCGCGGTGTCACCTCGGAGCTGAACCGGCCCCAGGGTGACAGGACTGGCCGTAGTGGGTCCGCGGTATCCCAGGGCTGACCAGTCACTGGGGGGGGGGGTATGACCCTGCAAACTGTCGGGTCGGGTGGTCCTCGCTGGTCAAGCAGAGGGAACGCTCGCCAGGCAGCGATATGGATGGCAGGTTATGTGGTCTAAGTTGGTTTAGACTCCAGGAGTCCCCCACCCTCCCCCTCCCCCGTCCCCCCCAGCGCACACTCTGGGGGTCCCACCGAGCCTCGGCTCTCGCCAGCCCGCGCCTAATGCTCTCCGGAATTAGGTCAGCGGGAGGCGTCCCTCCAGGGAGAGACGGGGAGAGAGTGACAGAGAGAGAGAGTGAGAGAGAGAGAGAGCGCATTCCATTCCAACAGTCTCTCTCTGGGATTCCCGTGTGCCGGCCGGTGGGAGGCGGGGAACTCTCAGTTTGGTTTGGAGACGCGTTGAGCGACGGTGATGGGTTTCTGCGTGTGTCAGACACCCGGTTGACCAAAGAGAAAGACACTGAGAAACTTACAGACTCCAGGAAGATCAACTTGGGTGTGAGTCCACTTTTAAGGTGGATAAAGTGATGCTATGTTTAGGGATCGGGTCGGGGTGGGGTGGGGCGGAGTGGGGGTTGGGGGAGAGAAGAATGAAAGGAACATATATGTTGAAATGTGCAATGTTTCACTCAAGTATTAGGGGAATTAGAAAAATGCCAGATCTGTTATTTTCTGTAACTTTTAGTAGTTTTTTTTTAATAACAATCCAGCAAACCGTGTAAATGTGATTAAAGAGTTTTGGCGAATTTTCTTGACTTAATGTTCATGGAGTTGGCTTATTGTTTACTATTTGCTATGCAGTTCAGAACTAGTCACTTTGGAACAGCCTCAAGACAGCAGTGTGGAAAATGCATGTGTGCTATATCTGCAATGTTCTCCTCAGCAGCCAGCTGACATAGTTTTCCTAGAGTTGGTGAGTGAAGCAAAAACTATGGAGGTATACACAGAACAAGAGTATTGTGGAACAGCTCGAGGACAGAGAGTAGATAATCTACAGACGGACAGGTAATGACATTTTGATTTACACTGTGTTCCAAATTGGGAGAGATGTCTTATTAATTACAATTAGGAAGATTCAGACAGCAAAATCCCGTTGGTGAAATATACTAAAGTAATGCACTCTCCAGTGACTATTGGAAAATTACCTTCTTATGTGAGGTGAAGATATTATGGAAACAGAAAGTATTGATTCTTGTTGGAAAATAAAGTTTTTCTTCCATTGTAAATACTATGTTGTCTACAGTTTGGATGAACAGTTGAGATTTGTAGTGTTTTTTACCGTCATTAAAAGTTTGTATTTCATCTCACAAAGAGCTTTGATACCAATTCCTGCAGTAGAATTGCTGTCGTTTTAATATGTTTAATGAAAAGCTGTGTGTTTAAATGGTAAATATTTTCCCTTTTAAAATCTTTCAGTGCTGATGACGATATCCTATTGTATAAGAAATATTTCAAGTTGGAATATCCTGTCTCATCTTGCGAATTAAAGGTGAGCTGGTGAGAGGGTTTGAGTTTTTTTCTTAACCACATTTTCTTTTGAGAAATCTCAGATCAGTGTTTTGTGCTTCCCTGCAGCTACTGTCATTGGGTGGAAAGGAGAAAGTGCGAATTGGTAAAATATTGCTGGGAGTGAAGCCAGCTTCAGTGAAGATCTCGAGGGACTTTCCTCCGTTAGGAAAGAGTATCAATTTGGAACGAGTGCAAACAATGATGGATTCAATGGGAACAAAACTGTCACCTGGGGCTCAGCACCTCATGAACATGGTTCAGTTCCAGCAGAAGGTAAATTGTATATTAACAAGTTAGTTCTTGTGGACAGTAAGTTTTGGATCACTAGCAACAACTATTAAAACCTGGGTTCGTTGATGTTTTTTCTCTCTCTCTCAGCAGAACCAGATAGCAATTGGAGGATTATTCCAGGGCATTTTTGGAGGTGGAGCCTTAACACCAGTTGGAAATGTAACTAATTCACTTCGGATGACCGATGCACTTACAGATGTGGCACCTTCCCATGTCTCTGGCAAAGGAAACGCGGTGTTAATACCAAAAAGCGAACAACCAAAGGAACCTAAAGGGATAGTAAAGTGTGACAATGAACCTATTCAAATATATGAGGGTAGTTCTCCATCTTCTGAAACAAATAGCATTAACGAAACATCCTGTGTTTCTGAAGACAGTGTGAAAGATACAGAACCGATATTAAATGGAGGAGACCTGAAAGGACTTGTGTCCACTTTTCTATGCAAACAAGTCAATGGGCAGCAAAATGCTTTCAGTTCCGAAATGCTTCCTTTTCTTCAGAACCTTTGTGGCCAGGTGAATGAGCTTCGCCTCGAAGAGAAAGTCAAACGTACCAAAAATACCACTCCAGCGACCGAGAATGAGGGAATGTCTGACAGGTATGACATTCAGCATTTTGCAGATATGTGTTTTCAATGCACAGTTAAGCAAGTGGACTGTCATACACAGTAAAAGAAGGTTCAAAGTTCTTGAAAGATAGTGTCATTTTCAATTTGTTAGGTAGTTCCTACATTTGCACTATGTAGTTCCAATCCTGCCCCCCACTCTTGGAGCCTGATCCCTGACTATTCAGTGCCTTGGGACGTCCTCCCGACGTGAAAGGCGCTTTACAAATGTAATTTTGTTGTTGTATGTTGTTGAAAGCGGGGGCGCTGATTCTCTGGTTGAGTATGAAAAATGAACACCATCTTGTCACTGAATCATCCATGATGTGTCCCATGAAGCATAAGAGTTGGCTAGTGGTTTATGCCTCCAGGAAGCAATAACTCCCAACAGTATTTTTATGTTTTTGACGCTCATTATTCATGTAGCTGTCAAATCAATTAATTAAATGATGAGGTAACATCAATTAACATTTTGAGCTTCATGATTCAATAGGAAATGAATATTTGAACTGTAACTAAGAAACATTGAAGGTGTGCACCAAAATGTTTATCACAAAGAATCAAATGGCTACAGTTTTCACTTCGGTGGTGAATCCAAAATGAGAGGACAGTAGATCTAATGGGGAGTTTAAAAGAAGGACTTCACGCAGAGTGTGGTGAGATTGTGGAATGCTGCAGAAAGCAAAAAGCACTTGGATCTATTTTAAAAAAAATGTATGCACACCTGAGGAAGAAGCAAATTGAGGGCTATAAAGACAGGAGAATAGGAGGGTTGGGGCCTCGTGTGGTGAAATTAACGCATCGTTGTTTCTGAACTGAACACAGAATTGAAGATTACACCAATTAAAATGAAAATAATATGTACAGTTGTTTGAATGTTTAAAAAAGGCAGAACCACAAGCATGTTTTGAAACATTGTGCAATAAGCACCACTGCACACTGACTCACACATGTATGTGGTCAAATTTCTGCTTATCAAAACTGAACTAGTAGATGTATAACTCGAGGTATATTTTCCATGAAGTATCGCCTCACAATTTTGCTCTTTAATTCTTTCATTCTTTTAATAACTATGAACCATTCTATACATTTTCTGGACATGATAGCTCATTCTTATTGCCTTGAAAATTACCATTTTAAAGGTTTGGTTACTTGAATTAATATTGTTGCATTTCTCCACAGGCAAAATCAGCAGCCTTTTTGTTCAGCATTGGAAAAGCACATTATTGAACACATGGAGTCTATGGAAAAGAGACTGAAGGATTATATAGATCATCGAATAAATACAATGCAAGCAGATCTCGATGCAAAGTTTGTTTCACTCACAGACCTGCTTCAGAGCCCTCCTCTGAAGAGAACTGCAACAAAAAACTATGAACTGGTTAACAATTTAACAAATGGGGAACTTTAGTTTGTTCTTTTCTACATCAGGAATAGATCGAATGAAACTGGCTGGTTTCAACAGGCTGTAAATGCAGTATCTAATACAGTATAAATAAGCACCACTGAAGAAAAAAAATGTGGTGTAACAGTTATAATTTATCTCTTGTAACTCATTATTTTTGCAATTAAGTTGTGGTATTTTTCTGTATTAATATATTTTGTAACCGTTAATGTGCTAGAAGCTAGATATAACATTGTAAATTTGGGGGGACAATTATTTGAATGTTATTGGTTGGTATTTTCCCATATTTCACGAATGGGTACTGTTTGGCACTGAGGATTCAGTGCTAGGAATAGGGTCCGAAATTCACTCTTTGATCACATTAAAATTCCTTCCTTGAGTATTCTGGATTGAAATGTAAAAGTCCAAAGTCAGAATTTCTTGGCATATTTTTCAAAAGCACACACAAAAAACTTTAAAAAAAAGACTATTGTCCATGGACCTGTCAATTTGGTTAATTGTTAGAATTCTGGTTAGCAGTTAGAGTAACTAAAACTTGGAAATCTACACCCTGTTTTACAGTCAGTATCGTATGTCATCTGCACCAGTGTAATAGTATAACCCGATTAGATGTGGTTTAAAAACCTCATCTGTACAGAGCTCAATAACAGTGTTAAAACACTGACGTTCCAAACAGAAACGGTAATTATCTTTGAAAAATTATTTATGAGGCACTTCTCTGCTTTCTCTCCCCTGCTCCACAAATGGTTCTATTTAACTGTGCTGCCAAGAACAATATTTTACATTCTGGTGTATGTATAATTCCATTTAATGCTCATTGCGAAGAAATTCTGCTCACTTGCAAGTGGTTATTTAGTGGGCATTTATACAATTACGCTGTCAGAACTTGACGGGAGTTGGTAGATTGAATTTGATATACGTAAACCAAATATGATGAGTCATCCTGCAAAATTGGTTACATTTATTAAGTTAATACATTTTAAAGTGTTGTTTCACATACTTGTTCACATACTGCATTTAGAAGGGTAATTGCAAGTCATGTGAACTGCATAGAACTACAATATGATTGTATTTAGCTTGTGGAAGCAAACAAAATTATATGAAAGTGCATAAATTTGGGTGGAATATTTTTGTCTTAAGTTATTATGATCTTTTGTTCATTGTTTATATAATTTTGTTTGTTTTGGGTGTGGTACTGGAGGTATACCAGCAACATACGTCACTGTATTGAAAACAACATTATTTAAGGGTATGATTCATCAATGAAATATAATATGAATGGCAAACTTTGACTGTTAAAGTATAAGCCAGTACTTATGAAATGAACACAAGCTGCATTGCGTTTTGATATGTGATTGTACTGCGAGAGGTTTAAATATTGTACTGTGAGAGATTTCATCCTTCCATTTACCCAATATAATTTATTGAAAAGATTTATTAAAGAAGTATGATTGCTTTAAATGTTCAGGTGTCTTCTGTTCTATTGGGTTGTCTGATAGAAATGTTTAGCTTATAATATAATATTAGCTTATAGTTAGCATCTATATTAATATCTAAAGGCACTAAAGAGAAATTGCTGTTAAGTGTATTTGTAGGTGACTATGGCTGCCATTCTGTGCTCATTAAATCCCATAAACAGCCATAAATAAACAATAATACATAATCTTTGCATTTGATGTTGCAACTTTCAGGTCAGGGAGGACATTTCAGGATTTGAAATGCAAGGATTATTATTATTTACTATAAGTGTAAAAACTCTTGTGTTGGCAAATGTGGCAACCAATTTGCATACAGCAATGTCCCCCAAATAGCCATGAACGAATGACCAATTTTATTTGGGAGTAGAATGCATCATGTCCCCACTGCTACTCTAGAAATAAGACTAACACTAGATTGTGAGCTCAGTCATGATGTGGGCTCAAACCCACAACCTTCAGCTCTAGAGGTGAACATACTATCAACTGAACAAAGCTCTACTGATGTTTTGTAAAAAGCAAATGAATATTCATGTCACTGAAGATACTCTTAAGCATGGTGATGTGTTTCTGCATATGTCAGACATTCAGACACCCGGCTGACCAACAAAAAAGAATAAAGTATGGTCATAGCTATCCAGTATTTACAAAAATATTAAAGATCTGGACAATAGAGACAAGAGGTATAAGTAAAACATTTCGTTAAACCTCAAACCGATAGGATTAATTTGTCAAAATGCAATGCAAAACTTCTCTGTACAGAATTTAGCATTTTAGGGTGTTATTGGAGTTAGGTAGGACTATATTACATAGGTGTTTACATTTCAATCAGTGCCGACATTAGGGGAGGGGTGGCAGGGTATCCATCAGGTTGTCATTCGTCATCTGATCAGTCTATTTACAAAAGGGAATTTTTTTGGTCTACAGAAGGGTTGGCTGTTGGCGTTCACCAACAAAACAGGTTTTTCCGGTTCATCTGAATACTTCTTTCTCTGGAATTCAAAGTGAGCTCACACTCACTCACTCAGGTGAGCAGTTAGGGCTGTGAGAACTGAACAATCTTTGTACTTAGCCCTGCTGTTGAGAACTGGCTGGGACCTTATGAACCACAGATGTTGTTGAAGATTTTTCTGGTTATCTTTGGGTTTTGTTACACCCATAGAAACACAGGTGAGTCTGCATCAGTTACCTTTTCCCCCTCTTTGTACTTGATCGAGAATATCGTTGACTGAAGATCACTGACTTGTCAGCTCTGGCTATTCTGTTCTTTCTCAGACTAATCGTTAAGTGTAAACACGAATCGTGTGGTGGGAAGATTTAGGTTTTTTTATATAGTTTTAGGCAAGATTTAATTTTTTTTAAAAAAGTTTCCAAGAAGTAGATTTGTTTTAGTTATTTAATTTAAAAAAATCTTTTCATAACAATGTTAGTTTCATGATATTGTTTTATATTTCAGTCGTGCTGTTTTGAAGTCGCTTTTGTCAGATAGAGTAAGACAGGAAGCAAAGATCTGGGCTATGTCACGCTTTGTTCCTTCGCCATTCAGGGAGTCGGCAATAAACAGAACACTGTCTGCCCTCTGTGCTTTCAGCCACTACGCCCCAAAGCTATGGAATTCTCTCCCTCAATCCCTTCACCTTCCCCCTCTCTCCCCATTTTTAGGTCTCGCTTGAAGACCTTCCTTTGCAACCGTGTCTACGGTCACCTTCCCCCTCCCCCTGGCTCGGCATCGGGCTCCGCCACTGTCAAGCACTCCGAGACGCTGTCTGGGGTGAAGGCTGCTATATAAATGCAAGTTGTTGCTGCACTGAAACTGCTTTTCTTACACTACTTCTTATGCAATATCAATGTTAATAAGTTACACTTTGATCAGTGATCTGCAGAAGCTCTAACAGGTGATAAGCAGCGTGTTTCTGCACTGAGCAATGAGCTAAATGACCCTCTGTAGCTTTGACATTATTGTATTTGTTTGGAATTCTGATGCTAGTTATTTTTGGCAACTCATTGTGTAATTGTGTAAGTATGGCTTCTGATTCAAGTGCAGGTGCCTGATGCCTCTCACCAGGAAGCATTTTGGCTACAGTAGAAAGACAGAGACTGCCATTTGACTTGTGCTTTGAGATGTCTCAACGACGTGATAAGGTGTTATATCAAATGTAAGGATTTTTATTATGATTTTGTTTGATCAGATGCTTCTCACCAGACGTCTAGCCTCTCTGCGTATGAAATCACAATCCCTCAGCTTCTCACTGACAGACACAAACGACATGCTGACCGCCATCTCTCAGAACAGGTACAACACAGCATCACTTTACCCTCTAATGGGTTCATGGCCTGAAAAGTTCAGATTGGATTTTTGCTTTTTACAAGTGGGATACATCTTCAAATTCATTGTCCGTTTATCTCATTACTCAATGTCGCCTTTGCAAGTTTACCACTATAACAACTGCATTTGCCTAAACGAAATTTGGTTTCATTTCTAAAGAATTCGGTTTTGTCAATTATTTTGAGGTGCTTACTTTTACATGAAAAGTCCTATGTAAATGCAACTTATTATTACCATTATATTGCTTTTGAGAATTAGTGTTTGCTGTCAATTCCCATCTATTGTAACTTTTTACATCAAACTGTTCAATGTATCAGGAAATTACAGCTGTTCACCCAGCTCCAAAATGTACAGTGTAACTTAAAATCAGCACAAACTGAACTTTACTTTTATTTAGAGTTATATTACAGGAAATGAGAGATTTGAAGTCATTCTTATTCCTTCAATGACAACTAACTATTTTCTGTGTAGTTTTGGAGGCATTAGTTTTGGCAGCATTCGTGTCTATCCCATGTTGATCATTAATAATAGGGATCTTTCCATTGTGTTTTTACACCAGGATTTTCCATTCTAAAAACACAATGAATAGATCTCTAGCTGTAGCGATCAGCATGTGATAAATACCATTGTATATTCTGTGATGTGCTTTGAGACGTCTCAAAGACATGATCAGGGGCTATATCAAGTGCAAGGCTTATTATTTAAATTAATATACAGTGGACATCTTGATGCATTTTTCAAATGCACTAATATAAGTTGTATGAAATAAAATAACGGTAACTGCATGAGAAAAAGTGACATTTCCTCTTTTAAGTCTTATTTTTGGAGTCCTGTAGCTCAGTGGTTAGAGCACTCGCTTTGCAAGCGAGAGACCTGAGTTCAATTCCAGGCAGGGCGAAACCTTGGGCAAGTTTCCTTACTCCACACAGAGCCTAATAATAATCCCTCCAAAACCAAAAACAATAATAAATTGGTCATTTTCAATCCACGACTGTTTGTGGGACATTGCTGTGCGCAATTGGCTGCCGCGTTCGCCCACAAATATACAGTCAATTCACTTTACAGTATATTCTGTGAAGCACTTTGGGACGTCCTTCTGACGTGAAAAGCGCTATATCAAATGCATTATTATTATTATTATTTCACCGATCTATGCAAAAAGAAGTTTGTATAAGGTGTTTAATTTTTATTAAATTGAACTTTGCGTGAAAGCTATTACAATTACAAAGCTTGCTAAAATGAAGTAATGTCTGAAGGTAGCAAAAATATAAGTCTTTTTTTTAAATCTTAATCTTCTAGGAACAATGGCAAGATCAAATATCTTATTCAGTTCAAATGGATGGTGAAGTTTACACACTGAAACTCGATAGGAACAAGTAAGCACTTGTTATTATCTTTGAATCGCTCTGTTACATTGTTCAGTGCGTGCTATTCCTTTTAACGGCTTCCTGTAAGAATTTATGATAATAAAATGTTGCATCACAAAAAATATATTTCCACCTCCCCCGACTTCAATATATAAAATAGTGGAACCAAGTATTAGATTGCCAACCAGTTGATTGCCTCTGGTAGTGTCTGGTGCACGCTCAACAAAAACAAGAGGAAGGAACGAAATTTACTGTGGTTTAAACCTCAAAGTTTATATTTTTATTTTGAGGTGCATGAAATACTTTGTGAGTCTGGCTTCGTTTTCAAGACCAAGGTCCATCTAGTTCGACTTCCACCATCCTGGCAGTTGCTTGACATGTCGTGTCCCAAACTGTACACTGCATCCCCGAGATATTAATAAGAACATAAGAGATGGTTGAGGCCAGGAAGCTGGACCTCTTTAAAAACAGTTTGGTTCTGTGACGGGAGGGGCAGGGTGCATGTTCTGGAAGGATGAGATCAATGGGTTGAAAAGCTTACTTCATCTCTCTTGTAATCTTACGAGTTCTAAAGGTCCCAGGGTTCACTCCCTGGTCTGTGCTGAGTTATTTAGCTGATATCATTTGGGGTGGCACTGGGGGCAATAGAACTCGACACAATACCCTGAGGCATGAAAAGAAAAATACAGACCACTGCTGAGAAATGAACACGAGTGACTGGTGAGCTACACACTTGACATGACGGCACGAAAGCAAATGCACGCATGAATGGAAACGCTGGCATTTAAATAACAACAGCTGAGATCAGGAGATTCGCTCAGTTTTTCGCCGCCTCTGCTCTCATTATACCGTTTTTAATCGTCAAAAGAGCAACTGGAAAAAAGTCTGTCACGCCAACTACTTTTACAATGACCTCAGAACATGGAAATATGCAGGTACAGAAAAGTCCAGTGAATTCCAATGTAAATTGAGAAATTCTAGACAAACAGGTTAAAATGCTGCAAATAATAGTCAAGCTAAGGTCAGAGGTGAATCATGCATGGAGGAATTAGTGAGAGTATAGTTTTGCTGTACTTTTGCTGGTGGTAGTGTAATTTCTCCAAGGGCTGTGACTGATGTTCTCTTTCACTGAGCGCATTTAGTATTTTTGGAGTTGTCCCAGGTTAGTCACAACACTCATTCATCCAATTCGTTGCGTGTGCAGGATAATTAATGTGCCTCCATAATTATAAAGCAAACAGGTTTGGTGGCATTCTCCTGTGTGTAAAACAAATTAGGAAAATTATTTCTACCGCTGAAGAATATAGACCAAAAGTATGTTTTTTTAAGTGCTTAGAGGCTTGGCTGCTCTCATGTTTTGGACTTGTATCAAAAATGTTAGGAAAATAAAACTGATATCTTCCAAATGAAAAAATGGGATGGCAGAGATGATGGAAAAAGAGATGTCTGTGGATTGATGTTTTTGAAGTCTTCTAAAAGTCACAAAGGACACAAACAAGCTTGACTCCAACACCTTACTCAATATAGACAAGAGGTCTACATCAAAGGGCAATGGACACAAACTTATCAGAAAGAGGGTTAGTTATTATACACAATGCAATTTACATTTGTATAATATCTTCCATGTCCATGGAAGGTGACAGGAGTGTATATTATGGGCGGTTTCAAGAGGGAATTGACTGTGTTGAGACAAATGGGATTGGGCATTTGTGGACGAAGGAGAGATGGTATGAAAAAATAGAACTGGCTAGATGGATTTCAGTGGATCTTTTTTGTTGCTCCGACACATCCTTGTGTTCATAAGCGTAAATTTTACATCACAAAGTAAATTTCACCAGGTTTCAGTCGGGGCTTTAAACAGGACTTAATATGGCAGTCAAGCATTTCCATCTGCAAGATCAGGAAATCTTAGAAATTGTATCTAGAATTCTTACTGTGGAACTCAGAGTGGTGTTCACAGGGACTATTGTTGGCTGACGCTTCCTGCTTTACTGGAAAGAGGAGTACAGAGAGAGGTATCAGCTGGGACATGCCCTCACCAAGGTGAGATGCCCTTGTCACACACCAACTTCCTTCTCAATTTAAAGAGGATGTAAAGTTGTGAGCAGCCCGGTGGCCAAAGAAAGAAAGAGAAATGGAAATAATAATGGCGCTGCAAAATAACAACAACTTGCACTTACGTAGCACCCCTCACGCCGGGTAGTGTCCCAGAACGCTGTATGATTGTAAAATAACTTTTTTTTGAAGAAGTAAAACAAAAGACATCCAAAGACTCCTTCCGATATTTTTATTATTCCTGTTTTGCTGAAGTCCCTAAACTTTTCAGACATATTCAGCGCCATTGCACAGAACAGCTGCTCTGGAAGGGATGAGGATATCAAAATTAATATTGGGTCAAGATTATTGCCAGCTATTTACTAGAGGGTCTTTTTAATGTTAGAAGTAGGTTAGTTGGCATCAAATAGTTCAATAGATGAAACAAAACATAAGTGAGGGGCGATTTTGGTGGATTATGGTTCCTTATTTTGTGGTCAGCTAAGTAAATGACACATTCATTCGCTTGCTCTGTTGTTCCCTCCTCCACCGCCACCCTTTTTCTGAAGGTATGGATGTGGAATTCACCAGAATGCCAGAGCTTTGTTTTTAATCAAACACACCCTGTCTCGTTCCTTGACTCTTCTCCAACTATGTCTGTAGGGCTGACAATCAGCTTTATGTTAATCAGAACTGAACTTTTCCACATCTTGATCAAGAGTGAAACCACTCTATCACCTCTGGAGATTACATTGTGCTTCACTAAGTTTTTGTTTCGCAACAAATGCTATTTACCCTCATAGACAATCAGAAACGGAACCGTTTTTTAAGAAATTAAATGTCTTCCTTGTACTTGAATTTGTGAACGCTTACCATCCCCCCATTCTCAGTGACAATATCCTGATCTTTCATCCTCATTCCAACTTGCCTCACCCATGAACTCAGTGAATAACTCTCACCCACGTCCATAATCATTCACTGCTTTTGTCAGATGTATCTTGCATGCTTCCCTGAGTGGTTAGTGCCCTATAATAAGATTGAATTATTAAATACCATATGAACGGGGTTTGCAGGACTATGGGGAGAGAGCGGGGGAGTGGGATTGATTTGGATAGCTCTTCAAAAAGCTGGCGCAGACACGATGGACTGAATGGCCTCCTTCTGTGCTGTATAATTCTATGATTCTATGATTCATGGTTGAGGCAGAATACATATTAGTTTTCAAGAGGGAACTAAATAGGTATCTAAATAGGAATACTTTGCAGGGGTATGAAGAAAAGACAGGTAAATAGGACTGAATGGATTGCTCTTTGAAGCAATCCCACACACTACAAGAACCATCCAAAGTTACTTTCACCCACTTCCCTCTATTAACTGCTATTTAATAGCTCCATCCTTTTGTTCATGTTTCATTTCCCCCCCAATATCACCGCTAAGGTTTGGCCTGAAGATTTCAATATTTTCATTTGTTGTTTCTGATTGTGAGGAACATGATTCAGTGCAGCCAGATAACACTGGCTAAACTCAATCATTATCCCATCAAACAGCACTCAAACACTGGCTCCAAATGAACAAAAAAGAGAGTCTGGGGGACTTCTAAGCAGCAGTCTAAGGTGGTGATTAAATGTTTGAAGGTAGGCTTTGGACCACAACATTGTGCCAAAGTAAGAGGAGGAGAAAGGGTTTTACCAGACAGGTCTTTATCTATCTTTAAAACCTTCCTTAAGACTAACCTCTTCAACTGTACCTATGATCATCACCCTCTGCCTTTGCCCTCTCTGCAGCGCTCCGAGACACCATCCTGCGTGAAGGGCACTATAGACTTGCAAGTTGCTTACTAGCTATATTTTGGACACTTTGCATATGTATTCCCCCACTTATTGCCCAAACTGATATTGTTTCATACAACACAGACCCTTGGATCAAACTTGGAACCCTCTTCACCTGTGTGATACAGTTGACCTTTCTGGCCATCAGAGGAGATCATGTGGTGGATATTTATCAATATTGTATTGCTTGTCTTTTACAGAGAGTTACTCACAAAGGATTTTGTGCAGTATGTATACGATAAAGACGGCAAAGTGGAGGCATCTCAGCCCAAGATTCAGGTATGCAAATAATATTTGTGACATTGGACTTGAGTTTTCTAGGCTCCTGTTCTCAGCAACATGAGAATGAATAACATAGGAACTCTCATTAATTCAAAGTCTCAGAGTATTGTGATAATTGTGCTATTACAGCCTGTGTGAATATACAGAAACACGACATGTAGGGAGACAATGAGGTTATCAAAAGCAGTCCAGAGTTAGTCTTGATCCATTTTAATGTACATTTATGAATGAAGCTTATTGGTGGCAGTGGAAACACCAAAACAAGTCCCAAGGATTAAGACAGCGAACGTCATTCAGCAAATGATTTTATTCTGTAGAATATCCATTGGGAACAGACCAATACTGCTCAGGAAATTAACAGAAAAGTCTCATTACCAAAAACGTTGCTCGTATTACAGTGATTTTGTTGCTTATTTCTGCCATAAAATTAACATCTTTCGTAAATTTGTTTCTTTCAGATCCACTGTCACTATCATGGCTTTGTGGAAGGTGTTGCGAATTCAAGTGTTTGCTGAGCACATGTTCTGGTCTCAGGTATTTTACGTGTGGTTGTTTTTGGCTTACAATAATTCAGTGATTTGAATTAAAATTCAACAGCTGGATAACTTAATTTAGCAAAAATACTTTCAAACCTATTTCTTGGATCTCAAATATTCCTGAATAAAAGTTTGCTGAGTCATTGAGATTCAACTTGTTATAAGAGGTGAGGAATCAACAAACACTGAACAATTTTCTTCTGTGTTTGATGCAGGGGGATTCTTTTTATTGCTGAGAAAGGTTATGGCATAGAACCACTGGAAGCCTCATTAAAGTTTGAACATTTAATCTATCAACTGCCGCACTTGCAGACAGAACCAATACTATGTGGAGTACCTCATCATGGAGAACCAGTCGATGGCGATCCTAAGCATTCGAGCAACGAGCTCCATTTGACACAGCACCTCCGGGTAATTACTGTCTTGGTTCTGTGTTTCAATTGAAAGTATCGGACAAATTAGTTACTTTTATCGACAAATAATCTGAGTACTAGAATTGCCCGACATCCTTTAAACTATGCATTAACCAAGAGGGTCCTGACTATTATAATCAGTTTTTCTTTATGTTCAAATGCATGAAACTGCATGTTGTTATAATATAATAATCCTCGCATTTGATATAGCGCCTTATCATGTCTTCGAGACGTCTCAAAGCGCTTCACAGAATATACTGTAAAGTGAATTGACCGTATATTTGTGGGCGAAACGCGGCAGCCAATTGCGCACAGCAGTGTCCCACAAACAGTCGTGGATTGAAAATGACCAATTTATCATTGTTTTGTTTTGGAGGGATTATTTTTATTATTATTACGTTGATGATCAACTTCAAATATTGAGCTAAGCCAGTATTTAGAGAACTCAGGGAGTTGATCCGACAAGCCAATCATTGGCACAAATGGTATTTCCAACAATATCACTGGCAAGTTTCCTTACTCCACACGCCTCTGTTTACCGAGCAGTAAGTCGGAACTCTGTTCCAAATTATATTGATGGTAGAGCTGTGTTTTAGCACAGTATCGCAGAATGTGGCCACTTTAAGTATAAACTGGTAGCCTGCAACATAGAGCATTTAATCTGTAAAGTGTTCACTTACAAAAGACTGTCACTACATTTTACACTAAATCCTGTGACGGATGCGTTGAGACATCTGCCCGATGTGAAAGATGCTCTAACAAGGATTATTATAAAGATTATTATTCTATGTTCTGACAGTGGGTTTATTTAAGAAATTCAAAATATACTGTTCAAACAATACTTTTAAAGGTTAGGATTGTTCACATAAATACAATAAAATCCAGCACTCCTGCTAAATAATTGTGTCTTCATATTTAACCTGCAGAAAAAGCGAGCAATTTTGCCCACAACGAGATATATAGAGTTGATTTTGGTTATTGACAACAAGAAGGTGAGTCCTACTTATAATGCATTCAAATCAGCTCAAAACTGAATTTCAAGAAAGATTTTGGTATTGCTTCATATCATATTCCATATTTTACAGTATAATTTGCACCAGAAGAATACAACTTCAGTTCAGCTACAGATGGTCGAGCTGGTCAACATTGTTAATGGAGTAAGTATTTCTTTCCAGTTCTTGGTTACCACGTCTGTTCCTTTATGATGTTAGTGCAATTGTAATGGTTTGGTCTGAATGCAATGTTCTAAGATTTCCCAACACTGAGATACAATAGTTACACAAGCCATGAGTTAATGCTAGTCATTAACTCATTGCTAACCATTCGTGGCATTGGTTAGCCGTAGGAGGTCAAAAGTGAGATGGCTTAGAGATGCCAGTCAGGTGATTACACGATACGAGGTGTGGGATAGGGTGGATATGAGATACCACGTCAGGTTTGAAGTAGATATAGCGGATGAAATATGGCATGGGTTACAATATCTGGTTAATGATTAATTTAACAATAGTTTTATCAATGGGATTTTTCACATCATTTGCGAAGCTCATATTATTTATTTTAATTGTAAAACGATTCATCAACAGACAGTAAAGATAAAAATGTATTAAATGACCTCTTAACCTTTCAGATGTACATCTCTCTGAATATCCGTGTCATACTGACTGCCCTTGTGATCTGGAAAGATGAAAATCTGATTGATGTGACAGGATCAGCTGGAGAAGTTTTGGGACGATTTATAAAATGGCGACAAAATGTACTGGTCCCTCAAAAGAAACATGACAGCGGACATTTGATTCTGTGAGTTTACAGAACTTACAGCTTGTGTAAATGTGCAATCTGCATATAATATTAATAATAATAATAATAAAAATAATAGTAATAATAATATCAGAGTCTTCCTAAATGTTGGTGAAAAACCCTGGACTTGGAACAACCTTGGAACATCACATCCTTCTGACATGAAAGGCGGTATATAAATGTACGTTTGTCATTTGCTTTTGAGTGTTAATCAACTTAGATTCTCCTACCTATCCACCCCAGCTGAGGTTGGCTAACTGAACACAGATCAGGTATTGAACCTGGGACCTTCTTGATTTATATCATTCAATATCACTTGACACGGTGTATCAGAGCAGAACTAAATAACGTGGGATACAAGACAATATGATCTTATCAGGTTTAATCTGTCTTGTATTGGGACGTGCTCCCGACGTGAAAGGCGCTCTATAAATGTAATTTTGTTGTTGTTGTTGTTGTTTTTGTTTACCTGCACTTTCAACTAAAAGAAAGACTCAAAAGTGCGATATGATACAATGGACTTTTTTAAACTCCTATGTTTGATGATGTGATAAGTATCTTTAACTGAAACCTCGTTGTTTCGTTCTATGTCAGTGGCGAGGGACAGTACAGTGGAGTTTTAGGAATGGCGTTTGTAGGCACTGTGTGCTCTCCCAGCCTCGGAGGAGGAATTGATGTAGTAAGTGCTTTACTTTACCTTTTTCACTTAAGCAGGGCTATTGAAGAACTGGAAAACAAATTAAATGTGTTTATGTAGAAAATGTAATCTATTTACTTTGAGTCCATTGTCTGAATGGAAAATCCTAGCAGTTCTACAGTGAAGCAATGTTAAAAGGTTTGCATAATGTTAACTGTTGAGGCTGGCAACCGGTCTCACTGAATTATTTCCTGGGTATCCCCATTGTCGTAAAGTATGGTGGTGCATTAAAGCTATTGGTTGCAAGTTTTAAGCTGCAACTAAATGTTTTCTCTTTTTCCTCCACCCTCTGTCCAACTAGTTTTCCAGCAATAATGTGGCATCTGCTGCAACAATTCTTGCTCATGAGTTGGGTCATAACCTGGGTATGAACCACGATGACAGACCGAACTGCAATTGTCCAACAAGTAGCTGCATTATGGCTGCACACGCCAGGTTAGTAGAAAGATGGCAATGTCTGTTTACGTGAAAATGTACTGTGATTTTCCAGAGCTCCATTATAGCCTTTAGTATTGAAATTAATGGGGATTAAGATTATTGATACTTATTTAATAACAAAAAAAAGTTATGGGAAACATTGGGCTACAGTATTTCACAACACATTCTTTGTGTTAATTAATGAATTCTTTATGTCTATTGTTTGATGAAATGCTGAACATTATCCCATTATTTGGAAATATCAGAGTTGATTTGAAAATTACTATAAAAAAAGGAACTCGGCCAAAGTTAATTGGCCAATGAATGGAGATGAATGGGACATCCTCCCGGCGTGAAAGGTGCTATACAAACGTAATCTTGTTGTTGTTGATATATTCTGTGAAGGGCTTTGAGCCGTCTCAATGACATGATAAGGCGCTATATCAAATGTAAGTATTATTATTTATAATTGCCTTTCACACAAATGATGTGTCTCTGACATTAAGTCACTTTGTTTCAGTGGAGCCAGCAACTTCAGTAAATGCAGTGAAGATGACTTTGTGGCTCTGATCGAGAGAGGAAAAGGAATATGTCTTCAAAATGCCCCCGAGCCTGGAGATCAGTATTCTCCAGCCGCCTGTGGCAATAGCATTTTGGATAAAGGAGAGGATTGTGACTGCGGTCTACCAAAGGTTAAACATCAAATATGTCATCAAACCCATTGGGGTGCTTTGATTCAACTTTTTGAAACATCTGCCTTGAGCAACTTCAGAATAATTAAGCAAAAAAGGCTATTTGTTTTCTATTAGGTTAATGGGCACAGTCTAATGATGATTAAGAATGTTAGTGTGGACAAGAAGGTTCTGGGTTTGAATGACTGCAAAATCTAAATTAAATTCCAGGGCTGGTAAGTGGTGTCTCCTTTAAGGAGAACTGGTAGCTGAATGGGATCTGAGAAGACAAACCCGACAAAACCAAGCAAGTCCGCAGTTATTTCAGCTATTAATTGCAGTTATTCGGACATTTTTAGGTTTTGTCACCCTGACTGACTTGTTGATCAGAATTAAGGTGTAGATATGCCCTCAGCCCATTGAGTCAAAGCTCTAGAAGGTGGAGCAGTCCTAAGTGGACACGTATGAAATTTACCAATGTTTTTCTATCAGTTATCATTAACATTGCTTTTATCAAATAAGAGTAGATGGTTTGCTTAACCAATTGCACAACATGTCATAAGTAACAGACATGAATATTTTTTGTGCTTCGATTGGTGTAATCGTTTTACTTTATTATAGATTAAACTATAATCATGTGCCTGGAGAGATTTTGCTTGTTTCTGCTTTGCTATAATAATAGGATAGTGGTGCAGAATATGATGGTGAAGGAAAGCAATAGGGATTCTGATTTTAGAAATCCCTACAAATAGATGTGCAACTTTAATTATTGTGTAAATTGTGTACCTTTTTTAGGATTGCAAGGATCCTTGTTGTAACGCAGCTACTTGTACTCTAGCATCAGGATCGCAATGTGCTTACGGACTGTGTTGTCAAAACTGCAAAGTAAGTCCAAGGTCCACAAGATCATCAGTTCACCTACAGAACACACAGTCACCACATTTTACAGTAAATCATGTGAAGGACTCTGAGATGTCCTCCCAGCACTATATCAAATGCAAGGATTATTATTATTATTTTTAAAAAATCTTAGATTTGTGAACGCACTGTAGGAACATTTAAGTTTAATCTTAATCGTTTAAAAAAGTGTTTGCCTGGTAAATTGCAGGTAATCGTCAACAGTTTTGTACTCTTTTTAAATCATTTATTGTGTTCGGCATTACAGAATTGTAGAGAGATTTAGAGCTAATGCCGATAACATTTGTCTGTGTAGTTTCTCTCCGCAGGGATTGTTTGCAGAAGAGCAGGAAACGCTTGCGATCTCCCCGAATACTGCAATGGCTCATCACAGTTCTGCAAGCCTGACGTCTTCATCCAAAATGGATACCTTTGTGATAATAGTACTTCTTACTGCTATGAGGGTGAATGTAGCAGCTACAATGATCTCTGCAGGTCATTCTTTGGCTCCAGTACGTATAACAACACATCGTTTCTATAAAATATACAATTTCTATGAATTAACGCTCTGGCCAACCTACGCCTAATACTTTCCAGACTTAGGTAATCAGGATGGATCCTTGTTGGGAGAGAGTGTGCATTCCATTCCAATAAATATCTCGGGAATTTCCATGTGTATGTGGGATGTATGGAACTCTGTTTGGTTCGGATACTCTTCATCGTGGTGATGGGTTTCCGCATGTGCCAGACACCCGGTTGACTACAAAAAACCCTAATAACTATTTTTTAGAGTGGCAAATTGTCCTTCATTATTTGTGGGGGTTCATGGCTCAGCTGTCCAGTTCACTCGAGTGAGGAAATTAATATAATAATAATAATAATTCTTGCAATGGATAGAGTGCCTTATCGCGTTGTTGAGACATCTCAAAGCGCTGCATAGGATACACTGTAAAGAGTGGTACACATATATAGATAGATCTCTTCATATGTGTAGGTGGTATAGATTCGTGGAACGCGCAGTCTGCTTTGGGTACACAGAAGCATGGTGATGGGTTTCCACACGTGTCAAACAACTGGTTGACCAAAACCATTATGTGTTGCTCATATTAACATAGTATTTGACACGACTTATGAGTCATCTTGAAACTTGAAATGGCGACTCTAAAAACTAATACTGTTTCTGTAACACTTAACCAGCTTCCAAACGTGCACCAGATGTATGCTTTCAGCACGCTAACATGAAAGGGGACAGGTTTGGGAACTGTGGACGTGTTGGGACGAATTTTAAGAAATGCAGCCTAAGGTACACGATGTGACAAATTAATTTTTTTTAAAAAAATCTGCTGACAGTTTTTGTTACGTAACAAGTTGCAATTTTTTTGTCCTCTCCCTTTTCAGCAATTCTCTTTGCGGTAAAGTTCAATGCGTAGAAGGCACAGTCATACCTTATGATGCGGACACAAGCACGTCAAATATCAATGGTATTAGTTGTAGGAATGCTGACTTTAAATTGGGAACGGACGTCATGGACCCTTCTTATGTGGCAACAGGCACTGGCTGTGCCAAAGGCAAGGTAATCCCGAAGAAACAAGCCGTTACAGACAGCAATATATCAGATAGACAATGCACACCTCAGAATTGAAGGTTGTGAAGACTGAGGCCTGAGCTGTGCCAAACTGTACCAAGTCATTGATGCAGGCGTTCTCTCGAGGTGAAAGGTGCTATATACATGACAATTATATTGTATTTGCGTTTTAAGTCTAATAGTCTATTCTGCGAAGCGCTTTGGAACGTCTAGAAGACGTGAAAAGCGCTATATCAAATGCAAGGATTATTATTATTATTATTATAATAGTGCAAGGCCTGCTATCCTGTTTGCATCATGCGTGCTATATAAATGTAAGTTATTGTTTTTGACGTCGATTTCTTACTGGTGTGCTTTTGTTTCAGGCTTGTATAGATTTTGAGTGTGTGAGTGCTGGCAGGCTGGGATTCGACTGTGACATCGAAGGGAAATGCCACAACCATGGTGTACGTACTCCTTCATGTTACCAGAATGAAACTAGTATTCTAAATATCCCTTAAATGTTTTTCAGCTATTAGTAAAATGTGTACTGTGTTGGTTCTCAGTTATCAATTATGATTTGACCCCAAACCAACCTGTGTTCATACCTTTTATACATTAACTACAAGGATCACTTGTATTTCATGGCAGTATTGAGCTGAATGCCTGCACATATAGGCACTGGGTGGGATGCAGTTAAGACACATTCTGCACTTTACATGCTACTATAATAATAATATTTTAGTTTGCTGTGAAGCGCTTTGGGACGTCCTCCCGACGTGAAAAGCGCTATATCAAATGCAAGAATTATTATTATTATTATTATTTGGCTACAAAATATACAGCCAATGCACTTCACAGTAAATCCTGTGAAGTGATTTGAGGATCCTCCCAATGTGAAAGACACTATATCAAATGTAAGGATCGTTATTTATTTATTAAAATGACGAAAACGCGTACAATTTTGTGAATGCGATATACTGTAAGTAACATTAGTGCAACCGCATGTGGTTTTGACTGAAACGTTAGATTCTAAACGTGGAGACAGTAAAAGTTTCCCAACATTGTTTTGTGACTGTGAATGGTTAATTACAAACTGAGTTAAATTTAATGACAGTATATTAATTATATCCTATTAGATTTGCAACAGCAACAAGAACTGCCACTGTGATCCTGGCTGGGCTCCTCCTAATTGTGATACCAGTGGCTATGGAGGAAGTATAGACAGTGGACCCCCTCACCAAGGTACAGTATATATATATATATATATATATAAAAAAGTGTAGCACAAGAGCATTTCACAAAGGACTTTTACAGCCAGCAGAAATAGTAGATGTTCATCTCATCACTCGATGTTGATAACTCCTTTTCTGATCTGTGTTTTTTTTTTGGTACTCTCGTGTTGTCTTTCTTGTGGCATTTGATTCATTAGTGTAAGTTTGGGGCTTTAAATACCTTTGCCAATGAGTCTGAAACACTGAGATTTCAAACAAGATTCCCCAAATAAGGAATCTGAGCGCTGACCCATTTATGTCACAGCCCAAAAGACCCCAATATAACAAAAAAACAATGCAGTCTTCACAACAAACTTCTTTGTTAACTATCCCGCAGGTTATTCAATTATTAACTTGCGGCTCCATCAAAATAACAGTCTTGTCTTTTGGGTTCTAGATACTTCAGTCCGAGACGGCTTGCTGATTTTCTTCCTTTTGGTGGTCCCTGTGCTTTGTTTCATTGCGTTCTTACTTTATTGTTTTCGCAATAAAATAAAAAGTGCCTGGAGAAGAAGAGATGTCAAGCACACGTATGTGAAATTTAAACTCAATTTCAATTTAAGCTTCAGTCCACCATACTAAAGACAACCTATTTGTTCCATTATTAAGTATGTTTTTTTTTCCAAATGATTTAACAACCTTAGATCAGTTGGTTGACTTGGGAGCAGAAGGTTTTTGAGTGTTAATTTTGGTGAGTTCATGCATCACTTTTTATCCCATCAAGTTTGATAAAAATGAGTCCTGGATCTGAAACAAAAACCTCCTGAGGGACGACATGGGTCGGACTGAACAAAAGATTCACAGTAATGCAAGGGAAACATAATTGAAGGTGTTCCCAAGGATTATCCAATGCAAGGATTGTAAAATTATCTACCAAATGTTTTATCCCTCTTGAATAATAATCTGAAAGTGAAAATTGCGTGAAATATCAAGTGATGTTTGAAGATTATCTGTTTCTATCTGCTCACCGAGCATTATTTATAAAAATGGTATAACTGTTTATTTTACAGAACAAGGAATACAAGACAAAACATTCCCTCAAACCAGTCCAATTTAAGAACTAATCCAGTAAGTTTCGCACCTATTTCAGAAGTGTTTGAAAACTAAACTCCTTGGTATCAAAGTATTTGCCACAAATACACGATCACTATACTTTACAGTAAATATTGTTGAAGCACTTGAGACGTTATGGTGACTCGATAAGGCACTATATCAAATGCAAAGATTATTATAAGGTATATTATTAATAGTGATTGTTGTTTAGCATTGGAAGTCATTTTGCTACAGGTTCACAAAGTTATTTGGGGGTTTATTGTTTCGTGAATAAAATTACTGTACGTCTAACTACGATGCATTTGAAAAGGAATTAAGCAGCATACAATGTAGATTAGTTTTGTAGTTACCAGATGGTACAGATTAGAACAACAGTATTTACCATTAGAGAAGCTCACTCGCAAATAGTGTATTAGATTCTCTTCTCCCCTAAGCTGCCCCCTGTCTGTCATAAGGAAAATCATGGCATATATGGTTTATTACAAAAAAACAACTTAAAACAGTAAAACTTTGAGTCTGATAGTAGTAGAAGAACAGAAGATTAGAATAATAATTTACTGCCTGTTTTTACTGTTTTTTCAGGTTATTTCTACACAGAACACAAGAAGGTATGAAAATGCTCCTTCAACAAGGTCAATATATTTTATTTTCGTATTGGTGGCGTCTTGTTCTTTTCTTACCTCCTCCCCCTCCGCATCTGTGCAATAGACTGATTTTCACCAAATAAGAAAATAACATTTCACAACATTTACAAAGATTTGCAAAATGTGTACAGCATAGAAACAAGTCACTCGGCCCAATCAATTTGTGACAGTGTTCTTTCTCTCCACCATTTCCTTGCTGCCTACCCTACCCTTCTGTCCACCACCCCACCCCCCCCCACCTCCCCCCCACCCCCCACTCTCTCTCTCTCGCATGGGGGTCTGGCCTCCTCTTGATTGAATCTATACTGTCAGAAAAATATAAAAATTCAGTAAAATCAAGAGTTAAATTCACCCCATTGTTCAGTTCAATGACGTACATCAGCAGCAATGAATGCTGTGGGCAATAGACACGTAGATTACTTTGACCAGGCCCAAAGCAAGCATTTTAGGAATGCTCCGGGTGCCTTCTGGAGGCACGTCACAGACTATCCCGCTGCCAAACCTCTCCTCGCCAAACCTATTGCTCTTCCACCCTCTCAGATCTCAAGCAACTTTCTTCTGTTCCTCCTCCATCTTCCCTTCTTTCTCTTTGTGAATGTGATATTCTGTTCATGCGTGGCAAACGTTTGGTTTCATTTCAAAGGGAGACACGAAAGTACACAACCTGAAAAACAGAGAATAAGAGGACAGTGGTATAGGTTTGCAAAGAGCAATTTCAGGACAGTCACAAGGAAGTATGTATTTCTGCAGAAAATTAACTGCTGAAACAGGTTACTTACTGGGAAGGATGGTTGAGAGCAGGACACTGGATTCATTTAGAAAACAACTTGATGCTCTGATGGGTGGATGGGAGGGTGGACGTCCTCCCGACGTGAAAGGCGCTCTATAAATGGAATCTTGTTGTTGTTGTTGTTGTGGATATTCTGAAAGATAAGATCAAATGGGACTAAGTGCCTTCTTTATCCAAACCTTTCTTGTGATCTATAATATTTACAAGAACCCAACTATATTTGTACAGAAAACTCCAGGAGATGTTATAAATATTCTCAATTTTCAGAAACCCAGATGTAATATATGATTAATCTACCGTCAAGATTACTTTGTACACAATTACATACATTTCCCAATTTATATTGCAGTCAGACGCGTTAACGTCTTCTTTGTTTTTTAGGCCACCCGCTTTCACAGGAGGAAATCAATCTGCAAACCCAGCCTATCCCCAAGTACCTCAGAAACCTGCCGTTCCTCCCAGACCCACAGTGCCACCAAGACTCTGAATTCCACCTGCGGTAACTGCTGAACACAAACCGTGTGCCTTGTCTGTCTCCAGTGAAGTATCTGATCAAATATATACCTCAGTGAAGCAAACAAAGCCATTATTGTTTCCTACCGAATGATTATTTCAGTGAAGAAGTGACTGTTTTTATATGTTTTATTCTAATCGCACTCCGTGGTGGTGAAGTGAGCATTTGCACTTTAAGTGCCAGGAATGATTTCACATACATGTTCTGGGCAGGTCCAGAACTACAGTAAGTCTCAGGCATGTTGTTTTATATTTTATAGGGCAGGGAGAAAGCAAAGTTTCTGCAGTAATAGTTCTATGAGTGCTAATGACGCCCAACTCTTTCTGACTTGCTGATAATTTACTGTTGGCTTAACAGTGCATGTGACTGTTTGCAAATTGCTTAAAAACCTGAAAAACATGTACGTCTCCTGACTGAAGGATTGGTAGCGTATGTTCAAAAGAATCAATAAAGAGTAATTCAGTGAGTGGGAAAGTTTGGCCCAATTGCCTAATGGGCTTATACATAACCTGAGCGCACAAGATCAGTTGGATTTCTGTGATGATGATATAAGTTGAACTACTCTACCTACTACTCTGCTACTGAGCTACTCTGCTTTTTGTGAACTTGCCAGCTGTGAATTTTTCAGTACACTTCAATGAATTTCACCAGTCCTACAGAGAAGATGTTAACACGTTGTGTCACAGTGTGTCTCGATAGTCAACAAAAGTTAACCAACATTGACAAATTTTAAAATTCAATGATAGCGCTCAAAGCCATTAAAAAGATTACTTGAAAAATTTAATAAGTAATGATTCTGTAGTTCAAAACATTCTATTCTATTGAAACCAAATTAAACATTAAAATAGCTGTACTGTCCTACATGTTTACCTTGTCCAGTCAGTGTGAACTTCTTACACAATATGCATTAAATTGAAATACATTTGCATAAGATAGTTTAAACTTTGAGAGAGAGGATGAAGGATATCAATATATTTAACCTGAACTTTTTTTTAAAACAATTCATTTACTAAATTTATGACATTGATTGGATTTTACTGCATTCTTAAATGGGCTCTTCCATCTATCCTAATGAATCATATCTATTTTATGACTTCTATTGGTACTAATCAGGATTTCTGTTAATGTAAAATTACAAGTGATTTTCTTCTCTGGCTACACGTCACTTTCAGAGACTAGTTTAGTTTAAGGTGTGTAAACTGTGAGTTAGGAAAGGGAGAGAATGTGAGAATTTAAGAAATGAATAAAAGGATGAAGGAAAGCTCATGAAGACACAGGCACACATATATAAAATGTATTATATTCAGCAATTGCCAGTTTAATGTTGGAAGGTCAGTGTCTAAACTTTTGCTATTAGAAAATAAAAAGCATTTCAGATGGAAATGCTCCGAAGTAAAGCCCTGTAGGTTTTGCTGTTTGAGAAGGAAATGAACACATCCAGTTATACTTTCACAGCATGAAAATACAATAATAAATAAACAGTGTAAACATGGGAATCTTCTTGAGAGAATCCATATCCTATTAAAAGGCGCCTTGATGCATCTGATCTACCTTTTGGGCTGATCAGAGGTATCTTTTGTTTTATTTCAGTCTCTGTTCAGGTCTGAAATGCTGTACACTGTCCAGCTCCTTGGTACTCCTGACGTGAAAGCCGCTATACAAATGTAATGTTGTTGTTGTTGCTGATTATTGACTATTCTTTAGCAAAAGATATCAGTCTGAAATCAGGTCACAAAACCCCAAAAGCCAATGAAATAAATTTATTTCAAGGGGATCTCTCTATTTCACTGATTTTGCTGAAATAGACCCCTTTTCCTTTTAGATCACCTTTAGTACTTAAAAGGATCTATAGAAAAGCCCTTAAATGTGATTTTTGTTTTACCGATTAGTTGAAAAAGGCCTAAAATGCATTAAGGGATAAATACTTATTTTTTAAAAAAAAACTACCTTCTCATTTATGGATTAGGAGTGAAAAGGATTGATCTTCCTAATATGGTGTTCCTGTTCACACAGTGATTTGAATAACAAACTGTGAGAAGTTGGAGAGGCTGTGCAGATCTGAAATGATATAGTACTCCATTTTTTGGCAGCCGATCCTAAAAATTCAATTTTCCCAAGGTTTGATTCTGGTAGAATTGACAGAAAATGCCAACAGTTTTTTTTTGTGAGCCAAATGGATTATTGGGGTTCTGTTCTTAACGGGTTTAAATTCACGTGATATGCTCCCTATTCAAACCATATGGAAATGCATATGCACAGACAGAATTACAGGTTACATAAATTATACCTATAGCACCGTTTTAGACGTTGTGGAGCTTATAATTTTGAATGTTTTACAATGTCTAACATGTACAAATTTGTTGTGTGATTCGCTTTGTTTCTTCAAAGAGGATCATTGAATAAAGCCAATGGAAAAGCAATTGTGAAGTACAGTACGTGCCATTGACTCGCCATTTATCACCCCTTAAATATAATAATCCTTGCATTTGATATAGTGCCTTTGACGTCAGGAGGATGTTTCAAAGTGCTTCACAGGATTTACTGTATTTTGTAAGCCAGTTTCTCCCCTTGTCCTGGTCAACAATCCCCGAGATAAAATTGCACATTCACTTTATGGCTATATGTGGGATTTTGCTGTGTGCAAATTGGCGGCTGTGTCCGCCCACAAAATACAGACACAGCACTTTACAGTAAATCTTGTGTAGTGTTTTGACAGCCCTACTGATGTGAACAGCAATCACTATATCAAATGCGAGAATTTATTTTTAATATGTCCGGTATTTGATGTGACATTTTCTGCATTATCCATATGACCTCGGTGTGATATTACAATGTACCGAAAATACATTTGCAACCGTGGGACAACAATTTTGTCAATGAAGTAATTTTGGTAAATTCCCTGCACGCGTTGGGATTATATCTCTTCTTACATTTTAGTCATCAGTTTCACTTGAAATGGTTGCAATTTGAAATTGAAGGACTTGAATAAACACATTGCTAAACAGGGGCTTCGTTTGAACAACTCTGCATTTACCAATTGTGACCATTTGTTGGCACAGCATTGTTTTCAGAAAACGATAGCAGTTTTCGGCAGTTAAACGCGGGACACTGATGTCGTGGGAACGCTGAGTTGTTGTGCGGTGCACTTCACAATTAGCTGCATTGCAGTTAACTTCCCGTCGGGTAACTCTGTATTTAGAAATTAGATCTTTATTTCTCTTTTATCCACATGACGTGGAATTAGGTAGAACTTTACGGCATGGGAACAAGTCCAACACGTGTGTTCTGGTGTTTATACTCTGCGTGAGCCTCCGATCTCCCGATGACCTCTCCCCATACGCCTCCATACCCATCTCAGTGCTGACGAAGGGTCGTGGACCCGAAACGTTGACTCACTCTCCTTTCTCCGTAGACGCTGCCTGACCTGCTGGGTGTTGTTCTGAGTTTTCCCGTCTCCCTTACGCTTGTTTTTAAATAGGAGATGTTCATACTGTGTTTCCAAAGTGACCGATGAAACAATGTCTCTCGTGCAATAATCTTTGCATTTTTCATTTGCACTCAGCGTCACGTCCGGCAAAGTGGCCCTTTTAAAGTTGGGGTGTAAAAAAGCTGACAACCTCGAGGGTCGCGGACGGGACACCCCACCCGCCCCACCATCGGCGGGAGAGCCTTCGGCCACTCTGCCCCCGACCTCTGGAACTCCACCCCCCAGTCACTCCGCCTCGGCCCCTCCTTAGCCTCCTGCAAGTCCCGCCTCAAGACCCTCCTCTTCGACTGTACCATCGGTCACCCCCTCCCCCTCCCTTCTCCCCCCCCCCCTCCCCCCCGAGCCCAGTTCGGGTCTGAAATGCCGTCCACCGCCGCGAAAGGCGCTCTACGAGGGGAATCTCGTCGTCGTCGTCGTCGTTGTTGTCGTCGTCGTCGTTGTTGTTGTCGTCGTCGTCGCCTTTTGGTCTGTTGGAATCTTGTTGTTGTCGTTGTCGTTGTTGTTGTTGTCTCGAAGACGCGATCAGGCGGCGCTGCATCAAAATGCCAGGATTACCATCATCATTATTATTATTTATTATTATTATTTATTATTATTATTATAGTGGAGTGATGTCAATGACTGAGTCCCATTACTACACACACACACACACACACACACCTCAACCTCCGGGGCCGCAGCGCCGCTCTGTGGCACACGGTGGGAACTGCCGCGGAGTTCGGGGGAGACTGGTAAATGGGCGGGGCGAGGGTAGGGGGGGTGGGCGGAGTCGGGAACGGGGGCGTGGTCGAGGGGACTGGGGGGGCGTGGTCGGAGGGCGGGAACGGGGCGTGGTCGGGGACTGGGGGGCGTGGTCTCCGTCACCGCCTGATCCTGATTGGTCGGAGGCGGCGGCGGCGGCGGCGGCGCGTCACGAGACGGGCATTTCCGGGTCCGCCAGGCGTCCGCCGGATGGAACGTTGCGAGCCGCTGGCGCCGGACCCGCTGAGCGGCCGAGGCCGCGGCCCGAGCCCGAGCCCCCGGGGGGAGGGGGGGGCGGGGGTCTGCCTCCTCACCGGCCTCCCGGGGGCCGGCAAGTCCACCCTGGCCCTGGCCCTGCTCCAGCGCCTGGTTCCCGAGCGCCAGACCCTGGTGCTGTGCTACGATGAGCTGATCCCGGGGGAGGCCTTCCCGCTGCCGGGGGGCGCTGCTCACCCCGCGACCACGGTCAGCAAACACGCCCGCAGCTGCCAGTCCTCCCCGGGGGAGGAAGGCTCATTTGCGGGGGGGGTGTGGGGGGGGGAGGTGGTGTGTGTGTGTCAGGTAATAAACATCCCCTCTGTGTAGGCAGTGACCTCCTTCCTTCCAACCTGATGCAGACCTTAATAATAATAATAATAATAATAATCCTTGCATTTGATATAGCGCTTTTCACGTCGGGAGGACGTCCCAAAGCGCTTCACAGAACACACTGTAAAGTGAATTGACTGTATATTTGTGGGCGAACGCGGCAGCCAATGGCGCACAGCAATGTCCCACAAACAGTTGTAGATTGAAAATGACCAATTTATTATTGTTTTTGGTGTTGGAGGGATTATTATTAGGCTCTGTGTGGAGTAAGGAAACTTGCCCGAGGTTTCGCCCTCTGCCTGGAATTGAACTCAGGTCTCTCACTTGCAAAGCGAGTGCTCTAACCACTGAGCTACAGGACTCCACCGTGTACCAAACGCAAGGGCTATGAGGAACAGTCACCAGATCCTGTTTGAACGGCCAATGGATGTGGCCCAGTATATTATTTCTGTTTGCCCCTGTGACTCCCTCTGCTCCCAAGCTTGAAACGCCATCAGTTTTGGTGCCGACGGCCGATGGCGGTGAAATAAATGCACCGTGCGTGTTGAATTCCGTGCAGCGGCCGTGCGGTTTGCTCTGCCTGTGGAGTAAACGCCGCGTGAAACGTGGCGGTGCTCTTCACCCGTCTGCACCGGACGTTAATGTTCACCACGAAGTTGCAAGAGAAGCTGATCAATCAGAACAGCCGTCTTTTCAAAACCCTCGTCCTCGCTTTCAAGGCCCTCCACGGCCTTGCCCCCTCCTACCCGACGGGGCAGACTCGAAGGGCCGAATGGCCTCCTCCTGCTCCTACATGTTATGTTACGTTACCTCGCTGACCTGCTAACCCCCTATCAACCTGTCCGCTCCCTCCGCTTAGTGGGCTCTGGCCTGCTCCATGTCTCGCGCCAGATTCGCCCTACCATCGGCGGCCGGGCGTTCAGCCTCTCTGCCCCACCCTTTGGAACTCCATCCCACAGTCCCTTCGCCTTTGCCTCGCTCCCTCTCTTGCCTCCTTCAAGGCACCCTCAAGATCCTCCTTTTCGACTGTGCCTTCAGCCGCCCTCCTGCCTCTCTGCCCTCCCTCACCCCAACCCTGCCCCCCACACACTCGGGTCCTGATCCCCAACTGTTCATCGTCTTGGGACGTCCTCCCGACGTGAAAAGCCCTTTAGAAATATAATTTTGTTGTTTGTGGCTGGGGAAGTCAAAGCTTGGAGCACTGTCAGAACACAAGCAAAATCTTGGAAATAAACAAGCGAGAAAGTGGGAATTATAATTACATCGATGTGAAACTAGAAAAACTGATAGGGCGATCCTCGCTTTAAAATAGATGGCTTGATAATGGATTGTGTAGGCTTTATGTGGTTACATATATGTGTGTGTGTGTATGTATATATGTATACACCATGAGATTGTAGTGGGAAAAATTGTGCCTGAGATTTTGATCTTGGCTAAGTATAGCACTGAACAGAATCTATGTAGATCAACACAGAAAGGGATGGAAAGATAGAGAAAATCAATCTGGGCAGAATTCATATATACATTACATCCTAACAATTACAGTAGTTACATAATGTGGCGGCAAATATGGTTAGCCTTAGTAATCAATTAGTAAAATAAACGAATTGTCAATGGGAAAACATTCACCGATTAGCATGGACTGGTTCCCAGATACTTATTGAAATCTCACCAGTTTAAGATGTAAAACACCAGACAAAATAATGTCTGGTTAAAATATGAACCTTGATTTCAGGCCCAGTTGTATTTTAGGACTCAGGGAATGTTTTGCTCATTGTTTTTGCTTTCTTCAAGATCAAAGTATATTTCTGAGTTACTGGCTTTCAAATTTGACCTTTAACTGAGGACAAAATGTTCTCAAGCACCATTCAGAAAGAACATGTGTTTCCCATTATATAGTATACTAACTACTCTGTGCCAAAGGTCTGCATAATTATTAAATTGTTTACAAAAAGGGACAGCACCAGTATTTGTTCTGCCCAGTGTTTCTAGAGTATTTCACTGAGTGTTCTGTTTACGGTAGTATGTGAAGGATGTTTCTAGTGCATTTTTTAAGCGGAACTATTATTTGCATAGACATCAAATTAACATTTTTGTGATGTAGGCAGTGAAAACAACAATCATCTAAGCAGATTAATCTTCAATGTTTTTGGTAATGGGAATAATGATTATTGTGTGATTGGTTCATGATAATGTGCCCTGAATTAACCATTGGTACTAATGTCAGATTGTCATGTTTATAAATGCGTGTAATTTAATTGTAACATCAGGTTTTAGATAATTATTGCATTTTTAAATGGATATTGATATCAGAAACTTCAAGCTTACAAGCCAGAACTTTTGGTGACTAAACAATATATGAGCACTAATTAATGCTCAATATAACATGGTTGTTTTGACCCATGATCATCTAAACTGAAAGCTATTGAGACAGGTGTTACATTGGTTAAACTCTGTTCCTCTTAGATTTTTTCTTAAAAACTTGCACAAAACAGTATTTATTAGAAAAGTATCTTAATAGGCTTGTTGCCCGATTTAACAGCAACATGTAGTCAATTGTGTTGGACTTAAAGGTTCACAATGCATTTGCATTAATAGTTTTTACCATGGGTTTTGCATTTTGCTTTGATCAGTTCCAATAAAAGCCAGATTAAATACATAGAATTATATTTGTGACTGTGTTCCATTCAGCGCTTTATCGTTTTCTCGGGTCTGAAATGCTGTACACTGTCCAGCGGCTTGGGACGTCCTCCCAACGTGAAAGGCGCTATACAAATGTAATCTCGTTGTTGTTGTTTTCTTACTTGTATGTGTTTTTTCCCCCATTTTGCCCTCTTTGTTTTTTGAGGGGGCTCCAGAGTTCATTTTGGAAATTGTACAGACGTAAACTGCTAGCATACATCGAACTCTTAATCCAAGCCATCTATGGTAATGGCTACCTGGTGGGATCTTCCAATGAAACTGATTCAGCGTGGGATTATTTCATTCAATCACTGAAGCGGCAGCATGTTATCTCTTCAGAAGCCCAGTATGTTGGAGCAGAGCAGTACCCAGTCTCTGTTAAACGTTCAAGACCATTGGTTATAATCCTGGATGACAACTTCTACTATCAGAGTATGAGATATGAAGTGTACCAGATGGCCAGGCAGAGTAAGTGCCCTCTATCCATATTGATAGCTCGCACTACTGCCAGTGTGTGTAGTGTGTGTAAATTTGAGGGTAACTTGAGAAGTACAGAATATTGCACAAGTCCAAATATTGTTCCTCTCCCCCATATTTTAAGTAACTGCTTTGATCAGTAATTGTTCACTCATGGTGCTGATAAGGCGTGATAAAGCTGGCACTCTTTCACTGTATTCCTTATTTGATCGTACTTACAGTATAGTATTTTGATATTTTCTGGTTCAATGATAACTTTTGTACTGGTTAAGATTAAGGTTACAAAGTCACATACTTTCTGATCAAATCTTCAGGCCAAAATTTGATATGCCCCTCAATATTGACACGTTCAGTTTTTTTTCTGTTGGTCTATCGCTTCTTTGTTATGAATCTGACTTTGTCTGGATATTTTGTTGTAGATTCTCTCGGCTTCTGTCAGCTGTTTCTGGAGTGCCCACTTCAATTGTGCCTTCGGAGGAATCACCAGCGCCTTTGTCCTGTAAACGATGAGACAATTGCGCTCATGTCCACGAAACTCGAGTTGCCAGACCCTGAGAAGAACGGATGGGAAAAGAATAGTATAATACTGAAAGGTGAAGAAAATATATCTGAAGAGGACATGTAAGTACAGTATTTTACATATTTTTTGTATTGCCAGAGATTTCCTGTGACTGATTTTTTTTTAAGTCCCTCACTTTTTAAAAATTAAACTGGTCTACGCTAGAATTTAGTAATCTTTTCAGAATTTTCATATAAATTGTGATAAAAAAATATAGGTATCAAACTAAAGTGATCAAACTAAATGAAGATCTTCCCCTTGCATAAGGTCATCTCCTCCCTGCCCCAACTGGATGTCAGCCTCAGACACTGTTAAGCGCTCCGAGATCTTCCCTGTGTGAAGGGCGATATATAAATGCATGCTTGTTATTGTTGATATTTGAGACGTCTCAACGACGTGATAAAGCGCTATATCAAATGCAAGGATTATTATTATTATTTGATGTAGGTGGGATGGAACTGAATGGAGAATTTATATAGAAAATAAATCCCCATTATGGAATTATTTTGACGGTAGGCGCTTTCTTTTCCACTTTTACAACAACATACTGGTTGGCAACACAAATTATAACTGCAAACTTCACTTAGCTATGAAAAGAGCTGTTATGTTTTTTCAGTGGGTCAGTTCCGACAGTGTTAGGTACAGTTACCTTTTACTGTTTATTTGCATTTCAATTCAATCTTCATTTTGCAGCCAGAAGGTGCTTGCATTACTGGACGCTGCTTTAGAAAATCCAGTGCAGCCAATCAAAGAAAATACTGAACAGAAGGTAAAAAAAGATTTGTGCCATGTTAACATACATTCATGTTTACAGAAGCTTGAAGTTAAATGCTTCAAGCTAATTTGATTTAAGGATAGTGTGGTATTTTCAAATCGCCGTTGATCCTAATTTTGGTGTTTGTTTTAATCTGTTTCACTGTGGAACCCAACTATAATTGAACAATTGAGTACCGTAATTTTAATTTAAGCACAAATAAGGCGAGCTTGATTATCTAAATACTCTGAATATTTGCTTTTAAATATCACACAGGAGGCAGATCGTGCCATTTGTGCAGCGAGTGTTCTTCATCAGGCTGATCAGGCCTTCCGCCGTTCAGTGTCCCAGGCTATGAAGACTATGAAAGGTACAACTAATATACCGTTTAAACACAAGTATTGTTAACTTGTTTTGTTGGTTATGTTTTTGAGTTTGTAATTCTGTTTGTAACATAATGATAATACTGAGTAAGCAATAGTTAAGATAAATGCTGTGGAGTACCCCCAGTGGAAAAAAATAACTGTTCCTGAAGCATTCTGGCAGAATTTCCCTGAAAAAATTTAAATAATTGGCCCACCTAATTAACACCCAGACCCATCTGCCTCAGGATGGAGAGCGAGGGAGCAGGAGATTTGATTCAGTGGTGTCGCTAGGAATGGAAATTTGATCGTTGCTCATCTAACATAAATTGGTGACAATCCAAATTTCCATTCCTTTTCTATGCTACTGGTTCAACTGTGCAGTGACGCAATATATGAAGAAAGTACATCAGTCCAGAAACATGCCTCTTCAGCTGTGGGTTGACACCACAGTGTCAAAGTGATGATAACTTTCTTTTGATTGATGTGATCTATAAATAATGGGTAATGACAGTTTGGTGATGTAACTTGCCATTTTTTCTCTCTGCACTTGATTGTGAGTGAATTCTAAAGCCTGATAGACATGTAATTTGAGGAAACCCCACATCAGCACCTGCCACCAGTGTAATTCATATTGCAGGCACTTTGATTCTAATGTCATTACATTATATGTAACGTATATTATAACGTATATTATGTCATTACAAAATGTTTTCGAACTGAGCTTGGAGAAGCAAAGTCCAGTACAACCAATGATACAAACACTATTTCTGACATCTGATGCAAGTTCAGACACAGTGAGTTCTGGATCTCGGTTACATTTCCATAGAGGACTCTGTGTGAACTTTAATTGCTTTCCCACATGCAGGGAACATTGCTAGATGAGCTAATCGTGGCCACCTTTCAGTGAATTAGACACTACTCTTATCAACAGTTCCCTTTGATGTGCTTTCAGAATGTAAATAGTGTGCAATGTAATGGTTTATATTAATATTGGAATAGAGGTATATATGTGTTTCAAAATCTGAAAATAAAATGATGACTGAATTAGTTGGCATTTAATGTTGTTAAGATATCAGCCAGGCTCAATTGGTAACACCCTCACCTCTGAGTCAGAAGATTGTGGATTGAAACGCAATGTCAGGACTTTATGTTTATGGCCTCAGCTGACCCTCCAAGTGCCTTGTTGGGAGGTTCGATCCTTTGGATAATTAAGATGTGGTCCTGTCTGCCTGTTCAGGTTGGTATTTAAGCAATAGGAATGGTACTATTCAAAAAGAAGGGAATTTCCTGTGGTGCCATGACTAAAATCTCCTAGATAGCTCTGACAATCCCCACAGTAATTATTTGTGAAATACTTTCTGCACCATATTATTTATCTAGTATCTAGTAAAATAAGTGTTTCAATGGTAAGGCACTGCATTTGCGTGGTTCTTACATTGTTCAATTATTTCTGCTCTAGTCAAGAAACTAACAACGTGGAAGATTAAATTATTGGCTGAAGACCTTAATAAATTGAAGACTATGTTTTTGGAGGATCTTCGACATGGGACTCTTCGAGGAAATCCCATGAAGATTTATGGTGATGTTGATGCAATTGTTGCAGAAGCTTCCTGTGGATTTGATCAAGAAAAGGAAGTCATTTTAAAGAATTTTTTAGAAAAGCAGACTTGATAGTACACAGAACAACTGATTGGTCTCATTGCTGATGACTTGATGTGGTTAATGTAGCTTGGTGTATAAGCTACTTCATGAAGCTTTAAAACGGGCAAGGATAAAGTAGGAAACCTATCAATACAATTCTTAATGTTTTTTCCCCATTGTGTTGAGATGATCCTTCCTGGTCTGTGATGAGTCATGCACTTGGAAGCATGTGTTCTGCTATTATGTGATAGCATCATGACATTTGGAAACACAACTTCCCTCCTGACATTGATACATTACTGTTTTCTCAAGCCATGAGCTATTTTAATAAATTAACTTTTATATCGATCTACAAAAAATTTACTGTTTGCTTACACAGATTTTAAGCCATCACAAATAAAGAATTATATAATAATCCTTGCATTTGGTATAGCGTCTTATCACATCAGAAAGAAGTCTCAAAGCGCTTTACTAATCCCTCCAAAAACCCAAAACAATAATAAATTGGTCATTTTCAATCTACGACTGTTTATGGGACATTGCTGTGCGCAATTGGCTGCTGCGTACGCCCACAAATATACAGTCAATTCACTTTACAGTATATTCTGTGAAGCGCTTTGGGACGCCCTCCCGACGTGAAAAGCGCTATATCAAATGCAAGGATTATTATTATTATTTACTGGAATTACTGTGAAATGGAGTGATTGTGTATTTAAAGGGAAAGGTGGGAACACAATTGTGCACAGGACACCAGGAGAAACTCACTTCTTTTCAAGTAGTACAACGTCTTACCGAAGGATGGCACCTTCGCAATGCAACCGCCCCCACCAGTGCTGCAATGGAGTGTTGGCTTGATCTATGAAATAATGCAGATTAATTGTGGTGGTGTGGTGGTCTGTTTGAAGGTGGCAGGAACTACTTGTACATCAAACATATGGCGCTTGTTTAAAAAAGCTCCAAAACTAATTTTCTTTTTAATCAGAGGTCAATCTGATGAAAATAGAAAACAGACCCATGAAAATGTATGTTCTGAAAAGAAAAAGTGTGAAGCCAAGTAATTTATCATGTTTGGGAAAATACAATAAACCATTTATAAATCACTGGGATGATAAATTGTTTATAGAAAAATGTTTAGATGTCAAGAGATCTGCATGAAATACATTTTCTTGGGTCAGTAACCCGGTTTAATTTTCTCTTAATGTGGTAGGTTAAAATTGCAATGTGCTCTCCTTTTCTCTTGAAGCTGAAAGCTTTAAGTGGTGTCTTTGCAACATTAGTAAAATAGTTTATGAATTCCATTTGGTGTGCAATATCGTAAAAAAAAATCTGTCTATAGAATTCTTAAAAAAAGTAAATTACTTTTATTGTACAAAGAGTACAACTTTCAGTTACATCAAACTAATTAACGCAAAAACATGAAAAGATATATAAAAAGGCAACTCAAAAAACAATCAAATTTAAGGTCAGCTCTGCTATATTTTACATGATTTAACAATTGATTTTTGGGGGAAAAAATGCTAATTAACATCACTGCACAGTGCATTTTGTCAGGAATTTCTAGGACCACTGAGTACATATAATTTCACATAGATTGTTAAAGAACTTTACATTTACAATGTACATATGTTTGTTGAAAAAACACCAGAGCTTGTTTACTTAGTTTGCCTCTCAACAAACACTCGTACTATTGTAGTCTTTTTAGCTGTAACCTGTTAAATAGCAATTTAATCACATCAACAAACTCTATTCACAATTTTACAGAACCTAAATTCACTTGTATGTCTGTATACATTTGTTAACGTGGGAAGATATCGAGAACATTTACAGAAAGACAACACATTTAGAGAAAGAAAAATACAGCACTCACGTATTACATAAGTTACTGATGTGTAACAGAATCCCATCATATAGCACAAACAAACAAACAAATTTGGTTTAAGAACTTCAACATTGGCAACAAAGCATAATTATTCACAATGGCTTGGAACAATCAAGCCAAAAAACTCAACCCTCAACTTGAACTGACTCAAAAGTGCTGTCTCAGTGGTGTCTCAGCAAGTTACTGGATATTTACTTACACAATTCAACAATGGAATATACTGGACCAGGAATAATTACCAATCGTTTCAAGAGAACTGGTTGAACCCGAAGCTATTACCAAGGAAGATATTGCGTACAGCTAAAAATGATTGAAATGCCCCAAATAACAACCAATTTCAGGTCTATTAAGGAAGCGCGCTGCACAAATTTAATCAGATATATTTTCCAATTAATTATATTCCGTAGGTTATAGCATTAACTTCTCAGGCTTAGAAAATTGGAGAATAAGTAGAGTCCCAATGATTTTGTAGATGAAGGAACCGCCCGGATCAGCAGAGCTATGCAGACCAAAAGGGTTCACGTTCAATTCCTACCCTGAGTTAACTGATCTTAGCTAAGACAGCAGTTATCGCTAATCCTGGGCTGGGATAGGGAAAACCAGCCAGGGTTCATTCTCCTGAATGCTACTCTTGACCACTGCTGAATTGAGTTTGAATGCAATGCTCTCTGCCATCAAATTGCCTGCCAAGATTTACTGTGCACACACATTAAGAATAGCTGCTGTTAAGGTTTTAGTTACTGAAAGATTCCCAGTGCATGTAGAAGTGCACAACCAACAAGCCTCAATGCCTTCAAGGGGGGCAGGGAGGGGAATGGAGGACGTACAGGAAGACAGGAAGGTAAAGATCAAACATTAAGACTGCAGCTTATTAATAAAAATCTGAACTGATACAATAATTCTAAATGTAGGGCTGAGCATGTATTCTCAAAATATAATGCACATAGATATTGGAATGAATAAAATTAGGTTAACTACTTTGTTACTGCAATATGTAAAGTAAGCTGAAGTAATTTTAATTACATATCAAAATAAATCTGGATTTTGAAGTAAGGCAGTGTAGTCAAAGCAAAATTACAATAAATAGTTCTCTGTATAGTACTATGATGCTTCCAATGAAATAGGATTTATAAAAGCCAGTTTTTGGAATATTCTAAATTTGCAATGGTTGTAGCTGTGACCAGGGAAACAAACCTTTAATTGAAAACCGCACTGGTTTTTGGTGGAACAACTCCAGCTGTGAATAATGCGCTAATGAGATTTGGAACAAATATTTTCCCAGATTCAAAACCTCTTTATCAATCCTTTGCATCCTTCTTCTGAAATTCCCACTCCTCTCATGATAATATGAACATGTGATAATGTCAGCAGACTATAAGATCATAAAGGACATCACAGTTGAAAGCCCAAATCCTGTCCACTCCCACATAAACACATGCACTTGCCTCAAAAGGCCACTGGATTTTGTGGAAATCACCATTCCTTCATATGGATAGCACACAATATTGATGTTTGCTTCATCCCAATCTCTTGGCACACTGACCTACCTCCCACCACCATCAACATTTCTAATTTGTGGACAACTAAAGTAAATGCCAGTGAACTTTCCCTAACTGCTCAATTGGTAAAGCCACTGCACAATCTACGACAGAGCCTTATCGACCTGCTTTTCAAATTTGTATCACTAACTATTGTACAAAGGTCCACAACATTTCATAAATGGAAGCCAATACTGAGGAGTGAAATAAATATACATGAAAATAAGTTGCAACTTTGTGGTTACATGTAGCTTGTTTTAACACCAAATATGTTGAATGTACAACTTCACAAATGAAGGATGATACTAATAGTTTATAATATGGCTATATGGCACCTCATATTTAAGACCTTTTAGCTAGGCACCTCAATTCTTTAAAATTCAGGATACAGATTGGGCTACTTGAAGTTTCGCACTGATAGCCACAAATGCACACCTGAAGTAATTAAACTTAAGGAATGCACAATTGAAATGCATTATTTATCCATTACTTTTAAGTAACACTCCATTTGTCAAAATTAATAAGACTCGATAAAGAACAGTAGAGACAAGCAGGCAACCTGTTTTATAGCCAGGTTTACACGTAGCCTTGGAGTGACAGAAAAATAATGTGTGTATTGTTAAATAAATTAACTTTTTGCTACGAGGGCACATTGTGTGAACCTTTTATGTTTTAGTTGCAAGGTCAAATGGAGTTAGATTCAGAACAGTCAGTTATTATTTTCATACTTGCATTCTAACAATTTGGCTCATATGTTAAAGGAAACAAAAAACAAAGATGTTGAGCCATTTTAGTTAAAATATAGCAGGAGCAAACAATTTATATTGTAAAAGATGCAGAAAACTAGATTGCATATCGGAGTGACATTCCTTTACAATTCTTAATAAAATAATAAGTTAAAGCATATCAGATAAATGCAAGTATAGTGTTAAGATGCATCAATCCAAATGCTCCTTTAAGGTTCATTGTTTTCTCGGTCGTTAGGTAATGAACAGCCTAGCAACTATTCTGTTCAGTCAAAAAAAACATATTAAGTTAATGCAACATTGCACCAATGAAAAAAATGTACCAATAAAATATAAAAAAACACAAAAATCTGTAAGATGGACACAACATAGGGATGACTGATACACTTGTTGATGCTTTTCTTATTGGTTGATATTGTGCATGTGAATTTTTAAATCTTGCAATTTTAATATCTATAGAATCATTACTGTAATCCTCATAGGGTTAGCTTCATCCCAATATGTGAACAATTGTGAATGATTATGCACAACAACTTGGTTTCAAACAATTTCAGCCATTTCTGCCAGATTTTAAAAGGAAATGCTGATTCTCCTCCCTGTTTGATGTGAAATTATGGGCAGTTATTAGAAGTAATATTCCAGTTATATTTGATAAGTGGCTTGTTTTTCTGTTCAAACTATTTCATAATACAAAATCTTTGAAATGATCCTTTGAAATGAGATACATAGTTCTCAATATTTCTGATCATAAAAAAAATCCAAATGTAATATACATATATAAGTGAATCCATTAGTATTTCAGTTTCAACTTATTGTGCTGTTGAAGAATATACCATAGAACACTTAACTGGATATGATACCATTTCAATTACTTGGGACATCTCAAAAATAATTTGTTTACTGTTATTAGTGATAGATAGACCAAACTAGTACTTCTGCAAGTAACATGTCACTTGTATTGCATCAATACCAGCAGTGTAATATCTGTTCTCAAGTTTACTGCAATCTTATTTTTTGTGTGTTCCAGTTTTACAATTGTTTTCCTAGCAATGGAGATGTGCCATATCACACAGAACTTATAAGACTTTGGTACTGCCATATCACCAAATAATATCAATATCAGAAATCCCTGCAAAGGAAACCTTTTCAAAGAAATTAAAATAACAAAAATTTAAATACACACAATCAATCAATCAGTACCCAAAAGAGAGATGGGTTAGTTTCAAGTGTGTCCCTTTAAGTGAGTTATATTATTTTCAAACACTAAACACAAAGGTACCTCAAAGAGCTGTAAATAGGTGCCAAAAGGTGCAAAGCAAAATTCAGATGGATGCCAGATAAACAAAATAAATTAAAAAACAGGTGTGAAAAATGCGAGTGAACTATACTGAGCTTACACTGCGATGATCAAATGTAAAAGCACTTTATTTCACTAGATGTATCCAATCAAGCTTATGGTTTTAAATATTCAACTTCTTCCTAATACTTTTCCCATCAGCATCTGAACCTTTTTTCTAGTCTTAGTTTCCCTATTCTTGTAAATTGCAGTAATGCAATTTATTCCCATTCTGATGAATGGCTTCAACCAAATGCCTTTCTCCTTTAAATAATGATTGACCTGCTATGTATTTCCAGTTGGTTTTATCTAAACTTATTTTTTAAAAATACACAATGTTGAGAAAAAGTGGAAAATGTCAGGCAAATAAAAATCGATCCTGCTTAATAATAATATATTTCTCTAAATATGAACCAACATGTGGTCAATTGTCCAATATGGTTGTAATGGTTTACCAGTACGCAAGTACTGTTAGTTTTGCTTGTGTTGACCCCTGGCAAAATGACAAGCAAAGTCATACTTGTTTTTACATTTGCATCCACATATGTTACATTGGAATGGGTTCTCATAACCATGGCACCCCATGTGAATAGTGTAAAGGATATTATCTGCAAAATACATGTCACAATGTTGGCAGTGATGTAGAAGCTGAGGATCTTGGATATGAAGTGGAGGAGCAGGGGTGCTGGGCTGGCTGTTTGTCACGCTGGGCGTACTGGTGTGGGCACTTCGCTCGCTACTTGGGCCTGCCACAGGACTGAAGTTTCTCCGGTTTTGTGTAGGACCCGCGTCTGGGCTGGTGGGGGATGAGCTTTGGACCACACTGGAAGCTACTATGGAAGCTGCTGGTGCTGTCGACTGTTGAGGAATCACGTACGGTTTTTCGTCCCTGCAGGCTACCACCTCGGGAGATGCTGGAGCTTGGTTTCCGGGTGGAAGGCTGGACAACTGGCCTGCTAGGGTAGAAAGCTGATTTAATGGATTATCTACCATAACATCATGCGTGTCCCTTGAGATCCCAAAAGAATGTGCCTTTTGCCAACCCTCATAAGATTCAGCCGATATATCATGAGGAAAGTCACAGAGGTAATCGGGCTTCTGCACCACCATTGAAGGAGGACTTAGGTTAATCAGAAGACGTCTCGCATAACCCAGGGAGTTGCTAGATTTTTTCTGTAAAATTCCAAACATGTTCTTATTTGTCAGGGAGGTCCTAGTTCCTTTCAAGGGAAGAAGTTTGTGCCTACGTCTACGGTGATGGGACAAATTACTTCGATCACTGCAGCAGAAGGAACATAGCTCACATTTGTATGGTTTTTCACCCGTGTGTGAGCGCATGTGTGCTTCAAGATGCCGCTCATAAGCTGAAGCAAACGGGCAAAGGTGGCATCTGTGGGGCTTCTCACCTGTATCAGAAAGAATAGATCATCAAACTTGCCATCTTATGTCTCCCCTTAATCTGCAGTTCCCACCTCTAACCATCCTGTCCTTCAGATGGCAGTACTGAAGGAGCTGCATACCTCGGAGACCACCCTCAATAGCCACTTGGTTGTCAGTTGACAGGCAATCTGCTTGCCACATGACAAGATTGGCTGGTTCTGCTTTTTCTCCCCCCTCAGTGTGAGACACTTCGGTTGTTCGGGTGTTTCCTATGTAAATGGCAAATAAGAACCAATGAAACTCCTCAAATGTATTGGCTTGTGGATATGTGCCACTCCTTTATTTTAAAACTGTGCGGGACAACCAGTTTTCAGAAAAGAACTGACTAAATAAAACTTGTGACCATGACAAACCTTCAAACTAATCACCAGTTCTGCAGCCCACTGTATCTTTTCTGTTGAATGATTTTACCCCAAACATTTCTCTTTTCTTTCTTTTCTTTTCTCTTACAAACGCAGGTTGATTGATCATCATCAGGGCTCCACACAGATTGCTGAGAACTGGAAAGAACTAGAAATCGTTTTCAGAGATTTTCTGTATCTTGTTTCGCTTTAAATGATTTCTAGTTCATTCTCATGCCCAGCCAGTTGTGTGAAGCACTTTGTGAAGCCCTGACGACATGAAAGTTGCTATGTAAATTGTATTGTATATTTTATTCTATTCCACTAGTGGCTTATCCATTTTCAGTCTTTAATGGAGGAATTATATTTAAAAATTGGGGTAATAACTTGTATCCAATTAAATTCTCACACGAATTGTTTCTGTAGGACAAATATTGAAAACAGGGCAGTGTCACACTGGGAACTACAGATGACAACATCATACGCATTCTATTATTAACAGTTAATGTATGAGCTATGGTGAAAAGAAAGCCAAAGAAAAACACACAAGGATATTTTTAATTATAATTAACTTTAATATGCTATTTTTCCTACTAAGAGGAGCAGTACTGTATCTATGGTGGTGGCAATCAGGTTTTACAGGTAATATTTTTCATTTAACCCTTACCTGCTGCCTTGTTAGTCCTGGGCTTTTCACTTTAAACAGGGAGTCTCACCATCGGTACCCCTTTTAAAAAAAATCAAACCGTTACAAAGAATTAGGATTAAATTTAACATGGTTTTATTTATTTCTATTTTATGTTATTGAATTTTTTTTCCAAACAGGGAGAACTAATGAAATACAGGGAAGTGTATTCAAAAGAAGACACTGTGCCCAACAGTGTGAAGGAACAGAATTAATAAGTACTTCTTTAAAATGACAGGACCAATGAAGAAGCCTGGGTTAGTGACTGTATCTATAGATATTAACTTTGTCACACAGCAGGTAGTACGGTATCTCATTCCAAGCCAGTTTACTTAATGAGCTCATCAAACCCATTGTAAAATAAAAATATCTAAAAAGTAACTGGGGACAAGAATAAGCTTATTTCTTCATAAAAATTTAATGTTTTAAAGAGGTACCAAAGGTGAGACTCCATCTAAGTCTAAAATGTCTAACTTTTTTTGTATTTTATGTATCTAGTTTTATATCTCATGTTATAACAAGAACTCCAGGGCGAAATTCCAACTCTGATGTTGACAGAAGTCCTGAGCTACCTAAACATTCCTCTCATTTCTGTCCCTTTCACAATAAATAGCACTGAACCTGCATCATCACCAACATTAGAAGTGTGAGCACAGCCATCTTTGTAGCATCTCTGTACCATCCTCACACTGGCTTGATTTCTAGGATGCTCTAGAAATGTGTAATGGAATAGAAAAGGGATGTATCAGAACTTAAAAGTTTAAGATTTTGCATCTCTAAGCATTTTGATTCTACATTTCCATTTTATTTTGACAGTACTGCTCCTTTAAGTAATATGGGAATCACATAGACATCATTCCTAATTCCATTACCTGTGTGCATTCTGATGTGCTCCATGAGTCGTGCAGTCCCTTTGCTCGCATAATTACAATATCGGCACTTCAGCTTTCCATCGTAGGTTCTCTCTAGCCCATCACCTAAGAGTGCAGAGCCATCATCCAGGGAAACTTCAACTGAAGCGTGTTGATGCATTCCATTCTGATCATTTTCTGGACCAGCTGTCAAAAATAAATTAGAAAAGTGAACAAGATTCATGAATTTCAAACTGGAGTACAAAGACATACTTACTGTGAAAATGTCACTATAAACTTTTTTTTTAAATGAATTATACTATAAGTTTACAGTCATTTGCAGAGTCAGAAGATCACAAATTGGTCTGGGTGAAGAAGGCCTTTTGACCCGTCTGATCTCATCCCTCTAGAACAGTTACTTTCTGCCATCACAGCATCAAACTTCTTTATTTAATAAGTCAAATATTCTGGCCTCAAGCACCTTTACTGGCAACTTGTTCCAGTCAATAGTTACCTTCCTAGTAAAGAAAAACGTCCTTGTATCTGTCCTGAAATTGTCATTTGTATGCAACTCAATACCGAGGTCCTCTTGTTCTACTATCTTGAGCATCCTAAACTATTGCTCTGGGTTTACATTTTTAATCCCACTGTGTTAAACGGGGAAGGAGTCTTTTTGCTCTCTGGTTTGTATCTAGATTTGCTCTATAATGTTAGGATAATAACATATTGTTAACTACACAAAATAAATTAACCAGCAAAAAGTCCCATTCCAGAATGGACTGTAGTGATGAATGTTGCATTTCTTACTTCTTTTCTCTGTTTAAGCTTTTAAGTATAATATTTGAGTTCAACATCCACAGTTTTAAGATTGTAAATGTAAAAAAAAGCCTTGGTGTGGAAATTTGGAGTGATTTTTTTTAGACTGATGGGGACAATGACATTGGTTTAAATGGTTTAAAAGCTAGAATCTGAGCTCTGTATAATTATACTTTGTGCAAGTGGATGTTTTGTGCATTATTAATTTTTTTCTCCTTACCAGGCTGTAGCAACTCAGTCTCCTTCTCGCCACCAACAGAACCAGAAATCATATTCACATGGTGAGTTTGTTGAGTAAGGTATTCTTGAAAATCCTTGACAAAGTCTGCAGAGTCAGCTCTCTTCTCCCCCATATTTGTGCAGTGTTTGAAAAATGTTTTCACTCTTTGAAAAATAAAGTATAATTAGATCTGGTGCACATTATTTCCATGAAACCCATGTATATAAGGAATATGCTGGCAGTAGCATTGCCATAATAATAATGTCCATTATAATTTTCTAGTTTAAAGTAATATATACTATTACTATTTTTTGTTACCTCTCCCTCTGATGGAAATGTTGCTGTTAATTGAGCCATTTTATTACATTTTTTATAAGTAATAGCAGGGCATTTTTTTATCACAGTCTTTGTTAAAAACTTTTTTTTGTTTTGAGAAGCATTACAGACAATTCAGAATACATGATTGCAAATTGACAAATGTGTCTTTCATAGTTCTGTACAGTTGGGTGATGCTATTCACTTGCAAGGTCTTGAGAAGGCCTTGAAGGAGACAAGGGAGGGGTCGAGACTCTGGGTTGTGGCTCCAGATGGTGGGGGCTGATAGTATAACAGAACAGGGCGGGGGACTCGAGAGCAGGCCAGTGCCTGCAGAACGGAGGGAGCGGATAGGTTGGTGAAGATAAATTCAAACCCATTATGGTTGAGGAGATATTGGGACAATAGACCGCAGGAAGATGTCACGTACCTGCTAGCATTTTCAAATTTGAAATCTATTTTACACATTACTCATTCAGATTAGCGAATATCTCAAAGATATTGAATATGCATTTGCTATGCTGGTTACCAGTTTCCAATTAGGAAGCGCATACACTAACCACCCGGCTAAATGAACTGATATGAGGGAAATGTGGTCCCTCAGCTAAACCAGTGTCCAGCTGTGAGCATCACATATACTGGTGGGAGTTTTGAGAATGCGGGGTGGATTTTTGAATCGCAGAGTTTTTTTTCCAGACCTGATACGGCTAATTTCAAATTCCAGATATGTGGGGTCAGGATAGACGTGGTTTTACTCATTCTCAAAGTAATAACAACAATAATAACCTGCATTTAGAGAAAGAAGAATGAGAAGGGAGTTTCTCCCAATGTCCTGGCCAAAACCCCCCAAATAAAATTAGACACTCACTCCATGGCTGTTTGTGGGACACTGCTGTGTGCAACTGGCTGCCACTTTTCACCCACAAAGTACGCAGTCAATCCACTTTACAGTATATCCTGTATACGCTTTGAGATGCCTCCACGTGATATGGTGCTATATTAAATGCAAGGATTATTATTATTATTATTTATATAGCACTCTTCACATGGGAATATCAAATTAAGGATCAAAACTTGCAGTACTCTAGGAGCTAATAGCTTTATCCTTCAGTCAGCAGGGTTAGAGCCAGGCTAGTGTAGAGAGGGGTAATGGTGAGATGTCTCTCATTACCAACAGGATCTGTTAGGTCTTGAGGCAGGGACATGGCCAGAGCGTCATTACCCACAAGAAATCTACAACTTACGGTAAATTCAATGGGCAGAGTTAACCATAAAAGTTTCATCTTGCTACCTAATATGTATAATACGATATTCAATGAGGGCAGACATAAATCATCTCTACTTCTGGTAAAACAAAACAAAATAAAAACCGAGTCCCGCAAAGCATATTAGTTGTTACTATCTTGGATGTAACACGCAAGAAATCCGAACCTGAAAACCTGGCGATTGTCATGACAACATTTAGCATCTCCAAAAAAATACTTTTCCCTTCTTCTGGATGTAACCCGATTATGTGCTTATTTCATAGTCAAACAATAGAGCACCTGTCTGACCGTGTTTTCGGTCATCTTTCGGCTGCCCACCGCCCTCAAATGTTCGCCCACAAATATACAGTCAATTCACTTTACAGTGTGTTCTGTGAAGCGCTTTGGGACGTCCTCCCGACGTGAAAAGCGCTATATCAAATGCAAGGATTATTATTATTATTATTATAACCGTCACCCCACAGCTCGGGATTCCCAGCCAGTACTGCTGAGCCCTTTGGGAATGTCCTCCCAACATGAAAAGCAACACACCTGACCTGACGCGCCACATCAAATTCAAGGGCTACTATTCGTTTTATAATTAATTTGTGGTGTCCCGTAGCTCAGTGGTTAGAGCGCTTGACTCGCAAGCGAGAGGATCTCGGTTCGATTCCCGAGCAGGGCAAAACGTTGGCGTTTACCGAGCAGTAACCCGCGTGTTAAGTCGGTTGTCGGGTCGCGCTTCCGGGGGTACTAATCCCTTTTTTTTTTAAAAAAAAACCGTTCACTCAGTCCACGACCGTTTGCGGGACGCTGCTGGGCGCCAATCGGCCCACAAAACACGCAGTAAATTCACTTTGCGGTGACATCCCGTGAAGCGCTTCGAGACGTCGCGAAGGGCGCGATAAGGCGCCGTATCAAACGCAAGGGTTATTATCAAGGACTATTATTATTATTATTATTGCTGCTGCTGCTGCGCCTCAAAGGAAAACTGTATCGCATCATTACAGCCCAGTCCTGGGATGGGGCTTTCTTGTGTGAGGTGCTCAGTGAAGGGGGAAAGTGAAGACAAGGAGCTGCTGCCTTGCACTCCCCCCCCCCCCCCCACACACAGACAACCCCCCACCCCCACCGTCAGCCTCTTCTCACCCACCAGCGCATCTCCTCTGGACTCCTGGGGTAACTGAGCTCGAGGCCGTCTCGCCACCTCAACCTAACCTGCCCGGGGGGGGGGCGGGGGGAAGAGGGCAGGGGGCTCCTCCTGATTGGCCAGTCCCGCAAGCGCCACCGGGCAGCGGCATCTACCATTGGTCCGTTCCGACGCCCATCACGTCCCACTCCGATCAGCAAGTTTCTGTGCGCCGAGGCCGATGTTTTCGCGGAGGGAGGAGAGGGGAGAGGGGGGGAACAGCGGCTCTCTGGTCTTTAACGTTCCGCTATTCCTCGCCCCGTGAACGCGAGCCGCGGAGCCGCACCGTACCCGTACCCTTCGCCTCCGCGGGAACCGCCGGGAGGACGGCCCGACTCTCAAGTCAACGGGAGGGCGAAGGGTCGGGTCACACGCGCGAGCGGTGGGTTTGTTTCTTTTTTTTAAAAAAAAATAAAAGATTTTTTTAAAAAAAACTTTTACCTTCGACCCTACACGTCGAAGCGCAGTAACACCCGGGCCGCGGGCCTCCTCATCCTCGGCTCTGGCCCGCGGTTTCACAGCCCGGAGCTGACAGGACGGGCGGGAGGGAGTGAAGTGGAGCGATGCGATGCGAGCGAACGAACGAACAAAAGCGGGGCGTCCGTGTCACAGAGCAGGGGCCCCCGCCCCGTGCAACGGCTTAACGAGTCCCCACGGAAACTGTCGCCCTGGAAACAGGGGCCCAATAGCTGCCGTCCGCTTGTTTTCATTCAGCCAGTGACGTGGGCACCTGGGGACACACACCACACCACCCCACCGCCCCCCCCACACACCACCACCCCACACACACACACCCACCCCCCACACCACACACACACCCACCCCCCCCCCCCACACACACACCCCCACCCCCCACACACACCACCCCACCCCCACAACCACCCCACCCCCACCCCCACACACACACCCCACACCACCCCCCACACCACACACCCACCCCCCCCACACCCCACCCCCCACCCACACACACACAAACCACCCCCCACCCCCCACACACACACACACCCACCCCACACACACCCACACACCAACCCCCCCCACCCCCCACACACACCCCACCCCCCACCCCACACACCCCCACCCCCACACACACACACAACCCACCCCCACCCCCCCCCCACACACACACAACCCCCCACCCCCACACACACACCCCCCCCCACACACACACACACCCACCCCCACACACCCCACACTCCACACACACAACTCACCCCACCCCCCCACACACACACAACCCCCCACACCACCCCCCCCACACACACCACCCACACACCCCCCACACACACCCACACAACCCCCCCCCCACACACCACACACCACCCCCACACCCACACCCCCACACACCCCCCACCCCACACACACACCCCCCACACACACCCACACACACCCCCACACACCCCCCCACACACACAACCCCACACACACACCCCCCCACACACACACAACCCACCCACACCCCCCCCCCACACACACACTCCATACACACCTCCACCCCACCCCCCCCACACAAACACACACCCACCCCCCACACACACACCCACCCCCACACACACCCACCCCCACACCCCACACACACACATCCCACCCCCCCCACACAACCCACCCACCCCCACACCCCCCCCCCCCACACACACACACACACACTCCACACACACACACCCCCTCACACACACACACAGACTGATGATGATGATGGTGATCAGAGGTGGAGCTTTATTCTAAACTATATTTACATATCTCGATTTTTTTTGTGAAAAGTTTCTGTTTTTTCTTAAAAAGAAGGGGTTTTCTCTCTCCCACCAATCCCCCCGTATTCATTTATACAATCAAAACAGTCGTACCACTTCGCTGGTATTGTCCACCAACAGTCACTACGCTGCCCGGTCAATCGCTTTTGAGATGCGTTGACAAGGGCGCGACGTTTTTCTTGACCTTCCCACGACTCGGTCTTGGATAATAATCCTCGCATTTGGTGTAGCACATGGTCGGGGACTGCCTCGGGGAGCTTTACAGTATTTACTGTAAAAGTATTTACAGTATTTACTGTAAAGTGTAGACCGTGTTGATGTATCGTCCACGCGAACATCCAGTGCTGTAAAATGTTAATACTCTAGTTCAATTGGAATGTGAAAACGTAGCAGTACGAGACTCCGGTCAGCAAAACATAATGTGGCCTTTCAGCTATGTACCCTTACAAAAATGTAACTCCACGAATTACGTTACACGTACAAACAGGGCTTTATCAGCCAGCAGCACTACCAGCCGAGTCACAGAACAGTACTTGTGACAATCTTATGTCCGAGTCACGGTGTATAGCTCACATTTTTGTCCGTAGATCACGTTGGTAAATGTTCATAGGAATTTTAAAAAGCCTGACTTTTTAAAAGATGTGTTTTTTTTAAACACATCTTACATTTTTCTTTTCAAGCAGCTGAAGAAAACTCATAATAGAAATGAACTGTGAACCAACACAAAGAGTTCTCTACCAGGCTACAGGGAAAACACAGCATTAAGCAGTTCTACAAACTCACCAGAATAATTTTCAGACTTACCGTCAGAGCTAAAACTACTGAGATACTGTCATTTTAGCAATTGGGTGCAGGATTGGTTGTTTCAAGTAATGGTTACAAAACTGCTGCCAGTGCGCTAGTATCCCATGTTCTGGATGTCAAGAAAGAAAGAAATCTCTTACAGAATGTCAAGAACTGGATTTCACTTCCAAAACAAAGTACTTGATGTACAATTTCCTGCTGAGTTAAGACAACGAAGAAGCTGATGACATCACATAGTCAATGCAACCAAAAAATCCAAAGAGACGAGACCTGCTCAATGGGAAACTTCACCTTAGCTTCAGGTTTCATAAGCTACTGCTAGAATACATAAACTTCAGTGATTTATATGCTTTAATGAGTTTCTATGATCAACTAAACATTGGGCCTAATTTTAACACAAATACATTGTTCACCCATTACTTATCAAGTAGAATTTTGTATCAGCAAATAAGATGGTGATGCATTTGCTAAATCTGGCCCAAAAGACATTTTTTTCTTAAAATAAAAGAGCTGTTGATGGTTGAGTCTTGTAAAATAGAAGTCTTTAAGTTTTAACTATTAAGATGCTTTTAAACGTAATAAGTTCTCATCTCCATTCCCTAAGCAACTCTTTAATGACTTTCAAAACTTGATACATTCTTTGGCGGCCATTGAAAGCCAACAGTGTTCGGACAACTAAAGTTTTCAAGGCATTGAGGTTTAAAATTACAATAAAAGCTTACAAGGTTTTGAATCCAGTATTGGTGTCACATAACCTGTATTGCTTCTAAATTTATCTACCTTTCTTTCCTATTCTTTTTAACCAGTTCTGCTCTATTGGTCTTGACTCTTCGATTAAGTTATTCCACTAGAAAAAAACAAAATGATCTGAAAAATGTTATTCCCTTCACAGTCGAATAGGAATATTTTCAGGCATAACTTGAAAAAGAGAGGGTGCAAGGCGGAGGGATTGAGGAAGTATTCCGGAGTTTTGGGGTGCAGTGGCCAAAAACATGACCTACGATGGTGGGGCAGAGGGTGTGAGGGACGAACAAGAGGCCAGTCGAGTGGAGGAGCCGAGTGGTGGATTGGGGAGTGAGGAGGTTGGAAAGGTAGAGAGGTGCCAGAGAGTGAATGGATTTGAACACGAGTATGAGGATCTTGGAAGTCGATCCTTTCAGTGATGGGAAGCCAGTGGAGCCTGGCCAGAACTGGTAAGATGTAGGTACACCAACAACACCTTGCACTTATTTAGCGCCCTCCACGCAGGGTAGCATCTCAGAGTGCTTAACAGTGGCGGAGCCTGACTCCGAGCTGGGGGGATGCGGGAGGTGGCCGTAAACACGGTGTTCAGAAAAGTGTTTAGGCGGGACTTGCAAGAGGGGAGGGGTACGGAGTTTGGTCCGGGTAAGTATGTGGCTGGAAGATTTCTGAATGAGCTGGATCTTTTGAATAGTGGAGCTAGGGACACTTGTGAGGAATGTGTTTTGAGTAATCCATTTTCAAGGGTTTCGGCTGCATTTGGAGTAAGGTATGGTCAGAGGCAGGCGATGTGGCGGAGGTAGAAGAAGGTGGTCCTGGTCAAGGGCTGGATGTGACGGAGGAAGGACAGTGCGGGTTCGCACCAGACAACTAGATAATGCACTAGTTTGATTCAATTCAAATGTCAGAAAAAACTGACTCCTCTCTTACCTACCTCTATTCAAATGTCAGAAAATACTGACAACTCTGTAATCTCTTTCATCAAGAGAAAGATTAATAAGAGGGCAGCAGCATTATTTATTCAGGCAATTGTTTACATCTGCAGAGCTTTGCCTCCTTTTGCCATCAAAAATCACTGTTTTCTATCCAAGCAATGCTCTCTCTCTCGCGCGCTCTCTCTCTCTCTCTCTCTCTATATATATATATTAAAAAAATACACACACACACACCATATGAAGTTCTGCTCACCACCCTCTTAACTGCCAGCAAATATTTTAGGTTTTGAATCATTGAAAAGGTTGATCACTTTTGATTTATTTGTTACTTGAAGCAGCAGACCACTTTGCCCAGGTTGTTTGAACTGGAAAAAATCTGGACACCAAGATAAAGTGCTCATTGGTTTATCGAGAGATTATCAATCCAAGACAAACCATGCAACTAATCATTTACACCAGTTCCTTTTCTCTTTCATATAGCAAACAACTTATAGTGAAGGCAGTAGGGAACAAATAGCAGAAAGTGAGTGGAGATATTAGGACAGGGCAAAACAAAATAAAAAGTGTGACACTAGTAACAATCAAACTCAAATAATTGAAATTTGGTCAACTTGGCACTTAAAACATTGCATACTCGATTACCATGAGCTGCTTCTTACAGGGAAGATCTAACTCCAGATGTTTACATGTTTTGTATGTTGCAGAATACTTTTTTTGTTGTAAAAAGACATAATACTGCACAATAAAATACACTATAGCACTGTGGTTTAAACCAAGTGTGGAACAAAAATTTTTAAGCTAATAACAAAAATGCATTTTCAAGCTATTTCCCAAATGCAAATCCTAACCGGCAAAATCCAATAACTTTGGTTTGTAAATAAATGAATCACAAATGTTCAAATCACACAATCATATCAGCGATGTCATAGGTTTGAAAAAAATACAAGAAACATTTCAATGAATTTTTTAAAGTTTTAATAAACAAATAGAACACCTTAATTTTGCTTGTGTTGACCCCTGGCAAAATGACAAGCAAAGTCATACTGATTTTTACATTTGCACCCACATATGTTACATTGGAATGGGTTCTCATAACCATGGCACCCCATGTGAATAGTGTAAAGGATATTGTCTGCAAAATACATGTCACAATGTTGGCAGTGGTGCAGAAGCTGAGGATCCTGACCCTGAATTGCAGGAACAGGGGTGCTGGGCTGGCTATTTGTTATGCAAGGTGAACTCATGTGCGCACTTCTTTCACTACTGGGCCCTGCCAAAGGACTGAAGTTTCTTTGATTATGCATGGCATGTCCATCAGGGCTTGCACTGAATGAGGTTTGAGCCATGGTAGAAACTACTGTAGAAACGACTGGTGCAGTAGACTGGTGGATGACAAATGGCTTTTCATCTCTGCAGGTTATGTCCTCAGGTGATACCGGAGCTTGATTTTCTCGTGCTAAACTGGAAAGCTGTCCAGCTAGAGCAGAAAGCTGATTTAAAGGATTGTCTACCATCATGTCCTGTACATCTCTTGTGATTATGCCAGACTGTACTTTTGAAAAACCATCATACGATTCAGTTGAAATATTGTGAGTAAAGTCATTGAGATAGTCTGACTTGTGCATCAACATAGAAGGAGGGCTTAAATTAATTAGAGATCTTCTTCCGTAACTCAGGGAGAAGCTGGATTTCTTCTGCAAAATTCCCATCATTCTTTTATTGGATAGAGACGTTCTGCGTCCTTTCAGAGGAAGTAGTTTGTGCCTGCGTCTACGGTGATGAGACAAATTACTTTGATCGCTGCAACGGAAGGAGCAAAGTTCACATTTGTATGGTTTTTCACCTCTATGTGAGCGCATATGTGCTTCCAGGTGACGTTCATAAGCTGAAGCAAACGGACAGAGATGGCACCTGTGGGGCTTTTCACCTGCATAAGAAAAAAAAGTTCAGAATAGCTTGATTTCTTCTCCCCCTCACCTATTTTTGAATGTTCCTTCTCTACATCCTTCTCAAGGCATCTTAAGGTGGGAAATGCAAATAACCATATTGTGTGGTTCAACATTTAAACAAATTAGATGTCCACCATTAGCAACCAGTAAAAGATAACTCTGCACTTAAAGAGAACTGACCCTTTTTTTAAATGTTAAATCAGGAAGTTTGCATGCAAAGAGTTTTAACTTGTTAGCATATTGGGATGTCCTCCCGATGTGAAAGGCGCTATACAAATGTAATCTTCTTGTTGTTGTATTTGATGCAAGTCTTCCAAACATCATCCCTGCATCATGTTGACAGTCACGGGTTTTGACCAGGTAGGCTACTCCAACAAAGTATTTTAAAAAAGACCTGTGCATTACCTGTGTGCATTCTGGTATGCTCCATCAGCCGTGCGATCCCTTTGCTGGCGTAGTTACAGTACTGACACTTCAACTTTCCATCAGGTGTCCTTTCTGGCCCTTCGCCTATCATTCCAGAACCATCATCAAGTGAAACTTCAACTGAAGCATGGTGGATTCCATTTTGATGATTTTCTGTCCCAGCTGCCAATAAAAATCTACAAAAGTGAGTAAGACTAACAAAACTTTTCTGCAAAAGTATTGACAAAAGCTTTAGTGTTTTTTTTCTTAGAAACTGCCACCCAGACCCCAGTCTAACTAAATAAAGCACATCTGTTTAAAGAGTGCAGAATCCTTTTGAAGTGGTGACGAATTATTCGGGTAAGTCTGACTTCAGAAAGCTATTCGATTGCAGTACAGCTAAGCCTGATCCTACCCTTGTTCGGTGTCCATACATGCTCTCCTTGCAGCAAGGATAACTATTAGAAAGGGCCCTGGTTGATTTTCCTCTACTCAATGCAGGGATACAACTGTTACAAAAAAAAATTGATCACTCAATCCACGACTGTTTGTGGGACACTGCTGTGTGCAATTGGCTATCACGTTTCACCCACAAGATTTACAGTCAATTCGCATTGCAATGTATTCTGTGTAGCGCTTTAAAGACGTCTAGTAGATGTGAAAAGCGCTACATCAAATGCAAGGATTATTATTATTACACCCCAAATGTTACTGCAGATGAGAACTCAGCACAGACAGGTGAAAACCCATTAGCCCATTGAGCAGCTGAAAAATGAACACACCCAGTTCTGACAGCTGTGAGACAAACGCCACTGATGAAAGGGAGACGTACCTTATTATAAACATCACTGATCTGTGGTATATGTTTCTAATATGTTGAAACAGAAACTTTGTGATATTTTAACACATTTTCTGGGATCTGACTAACTGTCTGCACAAGATTTTTTTCTTACAAAAATGTTTGAACATCCTGTAATTGATTGTATATCCAACCAGACATTTGCTTACCGGGCTGTAATAATTCTGGCTCCTTTTCGTTACACACGGAACCGGAAATCATGTTTACATGCTGTGTTTGCTGAGTGAGATACTCCTGGAAATCCTTGACAAAGTCAACTGATTCGGCTCTCTTTTCACGCATATTCTTATTCCGAGTTAATGCTTCTTTAATTCCTTAGGGTAAAAAGTAGTTGTATTATTACATTTTGTCAACTGGTATGTGCATTATCAAGATATACTCCAAAAAATTCAAATATAGATACAAACAATCAAATGTTATTGAATCCAAACATAAACCATATTAACATTTATTTTCTCCCTCTAGTCCCCTCTCCCATCCACATACAAATCTGTTTAAGAGGCTCTGCAATCCCCATTATCCAGCAGATCAAGTTCAAGATCCTTACTCTCACTTTTAAACCCCTCCACAATCTCAGTCTACACTATCTCTGCAAACTTCTAAAACCCTACCAACCTAGTGCTCCCTCAATCACAGAGCACTATGCTTCATGTTCTGCACCCTTTATACCCCCACTCTGGAGCTCTATCCTGAAGTCCCTCCAACTGACTCCCTTCCTCACCTTGTTCAGGGTCTGTCTCAAGATCCACCTCTTTGATGGTGCTTTCGGTCATCTTTCCACTCCCCACCCTTCGGCTCTCACCTCCAGCTTGCATGCCCAGCCAGTACTGTTAAGTGCTTTAGGACATCCTCTCAACATGAAAGGTGTTCTCTAAATGTAAATTTGTATTGTAAACATGACAACATGCTCCTGGCTCTTTCCAATAGCTACAATGAAAAAGTATGCAAGATCAGGCAAAATTTCCCTTCCTCCTCCCTTCTTTGCAATTCATTATTATATATTGCATGGCTCTACATTTCCTGGATAACCGTATTGTCTTCATTAAGTGGTTTTGTAGATTTTCTTTTAGCTTCCAAAAAATGTTTACGGATATCTGTATACCTGAACTATCTCTGGCCTCCACCCTCGACTCCAGGACCTCTGCTGTCCTGATGGATTGTCAGTCAGACATCAAGTTCTGGATGAAAGCTAACTTTCTCCAGTTGAACTTTGACAAGACAGAGGCCCTCCTGCTTGGCTCCCATCAATGCCTCCTCACTTTAGGCACTGACAGCATCACTTACCCACCTCTACCACAGACTCTCCCCTCAGGCCACCGAGACCCTCATTCATGCAGTCATCACTTCCAAGCTCGACTACACTAACTCCCTGCTTGCTGGACTTCCCAAATTTTTTCCCCTGCATAAAATGATTTGTAATTATGGAAACATTGTACAAGCTATATTTCAAAAATCCGATTTTCCATATCACCTATCATTACAAATTTACTTGAATACTCAATTCAAACATTCTATGTATTCCAGCATGGACTAGTTGTGCCAAATAGCTTGTTGTCTTGCCACATCATTCGATGCAATTCCATGCTGCAATGATTGAATTGCTAGCACATGGCAACTCTACAAGTAATTTATGTCTTTTGCAACACTTATCAAATAGACCAAATTGATACTAAAGCCAGGAGCAAAATGAGGATCACTTCAACAAGTAAGATTAACTTCAGCCTGCGGAGTTCGTTTAACTGTATGCTTTCTGAAAGAAAAAAAATGTGCTTTCCTATTTCAGTTTTCAATGTATTCTAATCAAAAGCACCAATAAAAAACTGTTGTAAAGCTATTGAATAGCAAAGCCTAAAAGGACTAATTCTCATGATACTGGAGCTTTGTCCATTTATTAATTGTGAACAAACAGAACATTTGTTAAGTAAATTCAGTGGTTTCATACATAGATACAAAACACAAATTCTAAATACAATGCCTTCTTGTCATAGCACAAGCACATTTTCACTGCACTTTGCTGATAACTGTGCGTTCATCTTGATCCCATAACTGAAAACTACCAACAGGAAATATTTACTCAGGTTCTATAATCCATTTTGTACTTCTCAATAAAGGACATGAGTTTGAAACATGTGGTGTACAATATAATCATGAACATCTTAATATAGAAATACTTTTATAACTATTTTGCCAAAGACACAAAACAAGAACAGGTGAAGCACAGTAATGTGGAACGAAATGTAGTTCAATACTGATTGACAACAGTTTGGATCAAGATCTATAGTTGTAAAATTCCACTCCATAAGGTAAATCCAGCCTTATTTATTTTCCATAGTATTAATGAAAAAACTGTATTTGATGGATGAAGGACTGCATCAATGTCTTATTAGTCATCATAGCCAAGATAGTTTTAAATGTCATATATCTATTTGGACAGGTTATTAATGGCAATAATGCAAAACCCATTTTGAATTATGGTGGTGGGGGGGTAATCTAGGACAAGATTCCACACCTGTATCCTCTGTTTAAGCATTATTATTGTAATGGCTATATTCAAAACTTTGAACATATTCAAGACTAAGATTGATAGATTTCTGAAGGATAGAGGGATTAAGGGATATGGCGGTCAGATTGAGTTAGTTTAGAAGATCAGTAGTGATCTTATTGAATGGCGGGGCAGGCTCGAGGGGCCAAATGGCTTACTCCTGCTCCTAATTTCTATGAATTGCCCTCTCCTTCCCCCACCCACACAGATTAAGAAAACTACAGTCAAACTTGTCTCAGGAACTGGGCCAAAGTGGCCTTTGTATAAGAGTGGCCTCCATTAAAGGATTCGTTGGTGTGCAAACCAGGTTGATCCAGGGTGGTCACTTGAATAGGTTTGACTGTAATTAATCTCAGTTACCTAATACACCTGCACATGAATAGGAATGAATATCTAGGAGATGCTCATTCTTCTCCTTCGCCTGTTATGTTAGCATGTTGAAACATTCAGTACCAAGTACAAGCTTTTCAACTGAGGGATGGAAATACAGAAAGAACATTATTGAAAGCAGGGAGCAGGTCACTTGAATCCATGCTTTAATAGGAGCAAATTACTGAATGTCATTTCGTTAGTACCCGACCTAGGGAATATTCTCTTAAAATAATGATCCCATGCCCAAATGTTCACCTACAAACATCAGTGATTTGACCTCTGGACAGAATGTCCTGTACTATTTAAGAATAAGATCAAGTTTTGCTTTATTCATAAAGAAATAAAAAGAAATGGTCACCGAATCCATGACTGTCTGTGGGTCACTGCTGTGCGCAATTGGCTGCCACGTTTTGCCCATTAAAATATAGTCAATCCAGTTTACAGTATATTTCTGTGAAGAGCTTTGAGATGTCTCAACAATGTGATAAGGCACTATTTCAAATGCAAGGATTATGAGAATACGAAAGAAACAAAATGCCCCAACTCCCTTATCAATCAACTCGGCACAAACGATCCCATACCATTCGTATTTTTCTAATGGGAATGACAACACTCGAAGGGAGCAAATAGGCATAGGAGACGCTGTTCCACAGCGCAAACTCAAGGAACAGTGCCTCATCTATCTGCTAGGGACCTTACAGCCCTCTGGTCTCAATATTGATTTCAACAGTTTCAGACCATAACAGCTCACCTTCCCCCTCCCCTGTGACCATTCCCACATCATTCTGGTCCCAGACACTTTTTCTCTCCCTGATCTGCCCGTTTTGTCGCAAGTTCTCCCCCCACCCCCCACCTTTTGCTCTGCAGAATTAACACCTCTACTCCCCCTGCTGTGTTACAATCCCCCCCCTTTGGTTTTGCATCATTAACACCTTTTTAACCCATCGTCCCCTGTCCTCTACCCCATTTTCTCCTTTGTCTTCCTTGCCCTGCCTCCCCCCTCTGTTAGCCCTTAAAAGCCTCACCCCTCCGCCCAACATGCCTCAGATCTGACGAAGGGTCTTGGACCCGAAACGTCGACTCACTTTCCTTTCTCCATAGATGCTGCCTGACCTGCTGGGTGTCCCCAGCCATTTCTGTTTTTTGTTTTCAGATTTCCAGCATCAGCAGTATTTTGCGCTTTGCTTCCTGGTATTTGACATAGCGCCTCACCACGTGTCCAGACGTCTCAAAGCGTTTCTTCCTGAAAAGTGACGCGCCCGCGGATATATTTTTGCGGGGCGGCACTGAGCCCATTGTTAGTTCAAGCTCCACCGCCCCCCAACCACCACCCTCCCCGTCTTAATTTTGTGCGCGTCCCGCCAGTCAATTCGCTTTACGGCGTGTTCCGCGAAGCTTCTTCAAGACGTCTCAAAGACGGGACGAGGCGCTGTATCGAGTGCAAGGAACAGCATTATTCACCGTTAATTCCCTGCCGTCTGCTCCCTCCACCCCCCCTTCGTGCTCTTTCCAAGCCCGAACTGAACCACAAAGAAAACAGTTGGGTGACTGGGGTGGGTGGGGGTGGTAACCACAGGCCCCACACCCAACCCCCCCCCCCCGCCCCCTTCCCTCCTTGTTTTTTTTCACCCTTCTTTTAAATGGCTCCACTCGTGACCTCTCACCCCAACCCTCCGCCACGCCCATTGGTCCGGGGACCACCTCGCCCCGCCCCCCCGCGGCTCCCTATTGGCCCGCTCGCCCGTCATTCAACGCCGGCGCCCCACTTGCCCCGCCCCGTTCCCCCCCCCCCCTCCACTCACCCCCCCGCCCCCCCCCCGTTCAAATCAGGTCTGAAGGGGACACCGACTGACTGACCCGCCTTCGATTTCGAAACACAAACAAAAGCACAATAACAAAAAAATAATACAAGATGCGAGAAAGAAGGGGAATGAATTACACATATGTTAAAAGTGAACCGCGGCGGTAACGGCGGCCGCCCCGTCGCCTCCGGCCCGCGGGCCGCTCGGCGGCACGAGCGGTCGGTCGGTTCCGACGGTTATTTTTTTTGAAACCGAGCGCGAGAGGAGGCAGCGGAGAAATGGCACAGTCTCTCCCTCCCTCCCTCCCTCCCCGTCTCTCTCTCTCTCTCTCTCTTTCTCTCTCTCTCTCCCCCCCCACCACCCCCTCCCTCATATTTTCCTACCTTTATCGATCTAATATACTGTACATAAAAACGCCTTAGTTCCATCCAACAGGCGACGTCTTTAACCAACCAAACATCGTCGGCTCTTGCGTGGGAAATCAATCCTAATATGAAGGTTTCTTCCTTTTTTTTTTCCACACCCGCCCCCCCACCCCGTTGGGCTCTTTCTCTCTCTCGGTCGGTGGGTCGGTGGGTGGGTGGGTCGCCGGTCCTTCGCGGTCTCTCTCTCTCTGTGTGTGCGGGTGTGTGTGTGTCTGGGCCGCAGTCCGTCCCCCTGTGTGAACGGAAGAACAAAAGCCGGGCGGCGATGAGACGCGCTTGTTGTGAGGACAGCCGGCAAATGGAAGTGACATCAGCGGGGCGAGGCTCGACTGGGGGGCTGAGCGCCGGGTCTCCAGGCCGCCTCCCACCGGCAGAGCCTCTCCCCTCCCTCCCTCCCTCCCTCTACCCACCGCGTCACTCACATCTCTCACATCACCCCCACCCCCTCGACCGACCGACCGACTGACTGACTGAGCCTCAGCCTTGCCCGAGCTTCACTCTCAAGTCTAATCGGAGCCTCTGACGCGCTCCCGTCGCCATCAACACGGCGGCGCCTGACCTGACAGCTCCACTCACTGAGTCTTACACCCCCATCCGCCCCTCAGCCTGACTGAGCCTCCCCCCCCCCACCTCCCTCCCCCCATCGACACCCCTGTACAAAGTATTCCCCCCCCTCCCTCCCTCCGACCCAGAGAAAAAAATGACAACAGGAAAACATTTGACCTTTTTTTTTAATCCTTTTAACCGGACCGACCGAGTGACCGAATATTATACTCGGTGTGTGGGTGTGTGTGTGTGGGGCGAGTGCGCGCTCTCCAACCTCTCCCCCCCCCCCCCCGTCGGCAAAGGGGACGAGAGGCTCGAAGCCGCTCTGCTCCGGTCTCTCGCGGGGTTTCCTTCTGTTCATACCAGGGAACAAAATGGCGACCCGCGCGGTGGCCGAGGTGAGGCCGCGGAGGTTATGTGCTCTCGCGCTCTGCGCCCACGTTAACCCGGAGCAGTCGGTCAGCGGGTGCGCTCGGTAACATACCATTGATTTAGTCGAGTTGAGGGGGAAAAAAAAAAAGCCTCTCACCGGGTTCCGCGACCTAATTTACGTGTTTCGTATGAATTAAAAGCCGCTGAATGATGCCGAGCGGCGCGGCTGGTGGTGGGCAGGACAGGACGGCTCTGCATCGCCTGCTCAGGAGATATATATATATATATATATATAAAAAAAACACCAGGCGTTTTGGGGTTTTACTCTGACGTTGTGAATCTGAGTCCATCCATTCTTGTGCTGCTCCGGGACGCTGTCCCCGAGCGAATGCCGCTGTACAAAACGCTCCAAGTTATTGCTTCCTCTCTGGGCCCCGTGTGAGGGCGATCGATTTCCAACTCAGCCTTTCATCTCATGTTCTTCAAATGTGAAGCGTCTGATGTTGTGTGCAGTTCAGTGCGCTCCCAAGTCACTTCAAGTGTGCGGTACTGTAACCCACGATTGCGGTAACTGCGTCATCCCTGAAGTTATTCCGTGGCCCCATTGTACAACAACAACAACAACAACAATGATTGCATTTATAGAGCGCCTTTCACGTCGGGAGGACGTCCCAAGGCGCTGGACAGTTGGGTCGGGACCCGAGCATTGGGGGGGAAATGGTCAGGGTGAGGGGAGGGAAGGGAGGGAGCGAGGAGGGGGTAGAGAGTCGAGAGGGGAGCTGAAGGTACGATCAAAGAGAAAGGTTTTGAGACCGGCCTTGAAGGAGGAAAGGGAGGAGGCGGCGAAGGCACTGGGGATGGAGTTCCAGAGCCTCGGGGCTGAGAGGCTGAAGGCCACCGATGGTAGGGCGGTTGGGGCGGGGGTGTGGAGCAGACGGAGCCAGAGGAACGGAGGGTACGGGCGGGTAGGTAGGGGGATAGTAGGTCGGAGAGGTAGGAGGGAGCGAGGCCGTGAATGGCCTTGTAGGTGAGGATGAGGATCTTGAATTTGATCCTCTGGGGGATGGGGAGCCGGTGGAGGCGAGCGAGGGTGAGGGCGAGGGTGCGGGTGGGAGTGATGGGGTCGCGAAGCCTGGTGCGGGACAGTACACGAGCTGCAGAGTTCTGAATGACCTGCAGTGTGGAGGGAGGGCCGGGAAGGCCGGCGAGGAGAGAGTTCCCATAGTCCAGCCTTGAGGTGACAAAGGGTTGGACCAGGGTTTCAGCCGCGTGAGGGGTGAGGTAGTGCCATAGTCTGGCGATGTTCCGGGGGTGATGGAAGGCGGTGCCAGTTGTGGCGCGGATATGAGGAAGAAAGGACAGCTCAGGGTCGAACATTGTAGATAATTTAAGAACGGTACTTCTGATATATAACGGATAGAGAGACATTAAACAATAATTTATTGCAGTAAATTTAAATTCTGAATTTAATTGCAGTTAATTGTTCTGTTGGGAGCCATACAATTATCAACAATAGCTACATAATGCATTCCATTTAGTTATGCTTTGTGAAGAATGAAAAAGGGGTTAGCATTTTAACTGCTGTGTTTTGCATAGAATAATTCAATCTAAATATTTCATTTCACAAATTTAAATAATGTATTGTTATTTATCGTGTATGGTCACTGTGAGTAAGGTAACAGATTGATTAGATTACTTTGACAATAATTGACTGTTCTTTTGCTTCAAATGTTCAATAAAAAGCAATCGAATTGCCTTTTGTGATTTGGCAATACACTATTTTGGCATAATAGTGTGATGCTATTGTGAGGTCAGAATCTCAAAAGTGTATTCACTGAGGACAGGGTGGTACAGTTGGTTAGAAAATAGCTTTTTCATCTCCATTTTTGGAACCCAGTTTTGCATCTAACTGAGATAAGATTCAATCTCTTCTATCATTTGTAAAGTCTTCATGAAATGATTTTGGGAGTCTCAACCCAGTTTTGGCACACAGCACAAACTGCTCTTTATTTTAGTACTAAATTGATAGCATCACTCAAAGAAACCACATGACATTTAGTTTTTGTGGATGACAGTGGGTGCTGTTCATTTCCCAGCACCTAGGAGTGTGCCTTCATTATGCCTGTTCCCATGGTGTACAGTATTTAACTGAATGTAAACTGTGTATTTTGTATTGGATTTCTGGGATTTTGACAATGATTCATGGTAACCCGGGTGTCTCAGACAGTGCAAATAATTTGGTCTCAACAGTGAAATGATTCACATCTGCACAATATAAACATAGTTGATGGAAATTGCACTGGGCTTATTCATCTATGCTGCTTTCAAAGCAACAGTTTGGTAGCTTTGGTGAAGCAACTTAAAGAAATTGTAAATTTTTCAACATTCAAAAACACATGTTATGTATATGCACAGACCACCAAAATTCTTTGGATTATATACCTACTTTTTAAAAATGCTTTAAGTTGAGTAATGTGGTTAAGTAACATTTATTTTTGTTTTATTATGTCTGTTCTTTTCCATAAATGATCAAAAGCTGGGAAAGATCTTTGTCAGACCAAGACGGTGGTTTCTAGGACTTTCAAAGATTCGGCCATGTTTTTCGAAATCTTACCATTCAGCAAATGCCTTAGAGAGTAGAACTGCTGGTAGGACCCTTTATGCACCATTACAGACTTTCACAGAAGAGGAGATTATGTTGAAAGACACAGGTAAAAATATATTCTATCTTACTGCAATAATTCTTCTTAATCATTGGCCATTACGGTTCTATTTTTGCTGAATTAAAGGAGCTGTATTGGGTATCAGATGATGTCGTCAGCTAAAGATGCTGTCCTTTCAGCTGTAAAAACCTGGATTTGAACTGGGCTGGATGCTTATCTTGTTGATGAAGGTCAGGATCAATGGTGCAATTCTTTTTTTGCGTATTTGGTGTATTCAAATTTACAACATAAAACTACCAGTAATTAAACACAAATTAACATTTTCTGAAAGAAACTATCTACAAGTTGAATAGTTTTAAAACATTCATACACAAACAGTTTTAGTGCATTCTAAATTCAGCAAAAGAGAATGTGGAACAATGCTCATTGTTGTGTGTGAATACCTTTGGTAGATTGGGGATTCAGTCATTTTTATTGGGAAAAAAGTTAAAGATCTTTTAAATAAATAATCCTCAATCATACCTGTAATATCAAAACTTCTCAAAAGTATTTCACAGGCGGTTGCTGTTAAGAGTAACTAACACAGATCATTTTGAACTAAGAGATTCAGTACAGTGCTGATGGAGATTAGGAAAACATAAAATAAAAATCTGCACTTTTTCACCATTGGTAAGCAGATACACCAAAATACAAGTACTAAAAATGAACTGACATCCATTTAGAAGCGTCAACACTCTTTAAAAGCTGATTTGCTGCATCATGAGCGAACAGGATTGGAGCTCCACATCAAATGAGGGTCCAATACTTTTAAAAATAGAAACCTATTGTATATAAAATTTTCATTTTGTCATGCCTTACCTAATCCTGACACAGAGTATACTGTAGTGCAATGACAGAGATGATTGTTCACTGTTGTCTGCCTTTTTAGTAGATCAATTGTATGGGATAAATTGTCACCATAATATGAAAAAAAATATTTTTAAGGGGAAAATCCCTAGACTTTAAATAACAGTAAAGAAAGAGGCGGACAAGAACATCTGTCATGTTTCATTATTTCAGTGAGGCTTACCGTTGTGGGAAAACATGTAACTTGTTTTTTTTGTTATATAAAAAAAATAGCTCTAGCTCCATTCATTTCTATGTGGTTGTAATCTGTCACTGTCCTTTTGAAAACAATAACTTGCTGTTTTCAATGTTTTGACTTTGGCAATTACCAGGATTGAGTGGGAATCCATCTTGGCAATTACCAATAGACCTAGAATCAATCATAGGTCTGTCTTATTGTTGCTGAGTACCCTCGCCAATTCTGTGGCCAAGTTGTCTGTTGAAGATCATGCATAGCAGATAAAATGGGGGTAAATAGACGTAAAAACGACTTGGAAAGAAAAACAAAAATAGGAATTGGAGGAAAATATATACTGTAATAGGTTAGATTCAGATTATATCTAATAGAAAAACCCATGGATTGGTACTGGAGAGAAAGTGGAAAAGCACAATAAACAACACAAGTTACTGATGTGTTTTTTTAAATAAACGTGTAGGAGCATTTTGTTGTCTTACAATTGGTATTTGTTTCAGAAATTGGAAATTTTTGCCCTACATCTTGAAAGTATAGAATCCAATGTAGTTTAGTGGTGAAAGTACAAGAACTCAAACTAGTTTTGTAGGGCATATATTAACACTATTGGTCTCTCGTAAAACATTTGACAATATAGAGGTACTAACCGTAAACTATTTAGTGGAAAATATTGCAATTCCATATTTGATATATTTGAGGATATCCGTCATTCTATGTTAATATGACTTGCTTTGACTAAGATGAGCATTTTTCTTCTATTTAATTTCTAGTAGATATCTAATATGATCATAACTATATGAAAGTTTTTTAAAAAATCCTCTATAATAAAGGAGCAAAATTTTAATCACGATTTTACCTTGAATCAGAAAATACATTTTATTTGATGTGTTAATCATCTTTACTTCCCTAAATCTGTCTTGTTTGTTAACTTGTGTGTAACCAATCACACTTAAAGTGTTTAATATCAGTTTCATCGCTAAACATATTTAATTAAAAATAATCATTTAAGAAAAAACCTGAAATCTTGCATATCAAGGTTGCGGTTGCTTTAGAGCTTGTGAATGATAAAGAAGGAATTATGATTTTTAGAAGTGCTGTATGTAGAATTATAGAATCGTCTTCTGATGATCCAGGTTTGAATCCAGTTAAAGTATTTAGAAGGAAAGTCTCCTTTTATAATCCTGTGAAATAAGTCTTAATTAACTGAGTCAAAGCATTCATACTTCATCATCAATATGAAACTGGATTTTAAGGAAAGGATAATACTCAGCAAAGACTGGAAAAACGTAACTTTGGTGGGATCAAAGTCTACAAGATCAGCGAAGTGTGAGATTACTTTGCAGCTGATGTGCCGTATGCTGTAACTGATATTACGACAACTATTTATGTAACGCTCTTCACAGTAACAGGGTTGTATGCTAAGTTAGGAGCAAGGGAAGATGACCGTATGTGCAGTTGAAGGAGTAGGTTTTAAGGGATTTGAAGAGAGGGGCGAAGCGGAGGGATAGAGGCAGAGAGTTTCAGAGATTGGGGGCGCAATGACGACCCATTGTCTTTCATGAGAAGGGCTCTGTAAACAGAGTACAGTATCATGTTATTAAAACTTTTTAAATTGACTAAAATGGAAGAACTAATATACATAAATAAGTATTTATGCATTGTTGTATTTACCTATAAATTGCTTGCTTTTTCAACAAACATTACTCAATTGTTTTATTATTAAGATGTTAACATTGAGAAATAAAATGGCTTCTTGTTTAACAGCTTTTGAAATTGCCATAATGATAGAGTAAAACATCTCTCAATGTTGCAGGAGGATTAATCATCTAGATTGGATGTTTAGGTGTATTTCTCTTATGTGATGTGTTGCATGTGACCTGAGAATGTTTCATACTCGTAGTGAATGTAGTGTGGGGGAAACAAATCATTCCTATCACTGACATTCATCACTTTGATAAGTAGATAAGTGCATCAAAAGAAATGGATGTTATAAGCTTCTAACTGTAAACAATGAAAAATAGTGTGTACTTATTTCATAATCTTTACTTTTTTCAGGTTTGTGAGATGTCATTTTTCTTACGCTGACAGTTTGGTAATCTTCTTTACAGTTGCTAAGTTTGCTCAGGAACAAATTGCACCACTGGTCCGCCAAATGGATGAACAATCTCACATGGATGAATCTGTCATTAGAGGATTGTTTGAACAAGGGGTTAGTATGGCTGTGACTTAAGGATTTTCTGTTGCTTCAGCTTTATTATATTATCTTAAAATTATACTTTACATGGAACTAAGCCTTTTATTTAGAAAATGTCAACCCTGCAAAGTTCTAATTTTTGTACAGAATCTGGAAGATTGTTGCACACTGGGATCTATTATGTGAGTTTAAGCAATCTGAAAATGAATGTAACGAATTACAGGAGCCCTTAATTATGTATTTGACCAGTATGTTTAAAAAAAATTACATTATACATTTCATTACATAAAGGCACCTGTAATTCCTCCTGGACACATCCATTTACTCATGATTTACACAACTCATAATAGATTCCTCTACCTATTCTGAAATTTTCTTCTTGGTTCTAGTTTGCTTGGCCTGGCTAGATCAGATTTCATTATCAAAATTGAGGAGATCTAATTATGAACATGTTATAGAAATATTTCCCTAATTTGTTTCAGTCCAGATTTTAGAACTTGTAATTTCTCACTTTGGACTCTCCCATTTGAATTCTAGCTGATGGGGATTGAGATTGAGGAACAGTATGGTGGATCAGAATCAAACTTTTTTGCATCTATCCTTGCCATCGAAGAACTTGCAAAAGTAGATGCATCAGTTTCAGTCCTGTGCGACATACAGAATACTTTGATCAACACATTATTGAGAAAGTTTGGGTCGGAGCAACAGAAGAGAAAGTATCTACCTCAACTTGCCAAGGACATGGTAAGTTTGAGCATTATTGGTATCAGAGTTTCAAAAAGGCTCAAATTAAAAGCACAGTAGAGCTTTGTTATAACTTGGGTTTCCTTGTAACATAAGTGCTCTGCGGTCAGCTTCCCGCGTGCCAGCCAGCTTTCTCCGTACGTGTGCAGGGATTAGTAGTGTCGCAAAGTGGAACGTTGCTGACTTGCAATCAATTATAAAATAGGTTGAGATTTTATAGATCCCGATACTTTATTTCTTTTGCAAATAAATACAACAACAAAATTACATTTGTATTGCGCCTTTCACATCGGGGGGATGTCCCAAGGTGCTAGACAATTAGTGTTTCAGATCCGAGCTGGGGTCGGGATTGGGGAGGGTAGTCTACAGTCTGATTGCTCTTTTGAGTAGAATATTCAAAAAATATTTGAAAAAATAATCAGGTGAGATATAGGCTTGCAGGTGATCAGTTGGCGGCACTCTTGCCTCCAAGTCAGAAGATTGTGGGTTCAAGCCCCACATCAGAACTTTGAACTCAAGTCCAGATTGACACTCTCATGCAGTGCTGGAGTGTGCTGCATTGTTGCAGGTGACAGCCTTCAGATGAGATGGAAAACCAAGGTCCCGTCTTCCTGTTGAGGTGGATATCAAAGATCCCATGGCACTATTTGAAAAGAAAAGGGAGTTTCTCTTCTGAGTTGGCCTGTGTCCTGGCCAACAATCCCCCAATTAAAATTCGTTAATCACTTCATGACTGTTTGTGGGACATTGTTGTGTGCAAAGTGCCTCTACATTTCCCAAAATGCACAGTCGCCACACTTTACAGGATATCCTATGCAGCACTTTGAGATGTACTCCTGACATGAAAGGTGCAATATCAAAAGGCAATGATTATTAAACAGTAATAATAAATTATTATTCTGACCAATAAATGGATCTGGACAGATTTGTTTTTTGTTTTTTTTTTTAGGTTGGCAGCTTCTGTCTTTCAGAGCCCGAGGCTGGTAGTGATGCATTTTCTCTGAGAACATGTGCTGAAAAACATGAAGATTATTATATTATCAATGGCTCAAAGATGTGGATAAGTAATGCTGATTATGCTGGCGTATTTCTGGTTATGGCAAATGCAAATCAAGCAGCAGTGAGTATAAAAGTTTGTAATCCAGGCCTGGAAGTATCAGTATTTTTATTTCTGGATGGCGGATTTAACTGTTATTCTCTTAACAAGAGAGAAGAGTGGCCCTTCATAGTGCAGTTGCATGTTTTTTTGAGATTTTTTTTCTGATGGGGAAAGAAATGTAAACTGCTAGAGTTAGTGAGTTTTTTTTGTCTCATGCTATTACAGACAACCTAATAATAATAATCCATTATTGTCTGTTTCCACAAATTCACGGCAATTCACTTTACAGTATATTCTGTGAAGCGCTTTGAGACATCTTAATGACATGATAAGGTGCTATATCAATTACAAAGATTATTATATAATGTGACAACTGGAGTTGTCCATTTTAAAAATATTTAGATAAATACATGACGCCTATCAGAAAGTTTATATATCCAGCTGTTTGATTTGAAGCTATATTTTTGGAGGCTATTGCTTAACAACAACATTTAACATTCTCATTTTTTTATCCTTGCATGTATTCTTAAAGCAGCTCAATACTCTTATGTCATCTTATATTTCCAGAGCTATAGGGGAATCACATGTTTCATAGTCGATCAAGGTACAGAAGGGCTGCAAATTGGGAAAAAGGAGGATAAACTGGGAATCCGAGCATCATCTACTTGTGCAGTGAATTTTGATAATGTGAAGGTAATTGTTATTTTAAAATCACAGATTCAATGCTGAAGTGTTGTGTGGATTTAATATCTTAGTTTTATTGAGATTTAACCTTTTAGTTGTTTAGTTTTTCAAAGAAAAAGAAAACTTTAATTTCATATAATGTAATTTCTATTGTATACATCATCAATTGCATAGATCTATAAAAATCATTTAGAAATTATATACAATGACCATTTCAGCACTTTGGTGGCTTGCTTCTTTGTTCTGGGCTGTAATGCATTTTATTTTGTGTTTCAGGTTCCAGAGAGTAACATTCTGGGTCAACTGGGACAAGGGTACAAATATGCAATTGGAATGCTGAATGAGGGCAGAATTGGGATTGCTGCACAGGTTTGTGAAAAGGACATATAATGCACAGTTCTTACAACTGTGTAATGCTTTTGTCCATATAATGTTTCCTTCAGTAATGGCCTTGCAGTTTATGATCTATTTGACAAATAGAAATGGAAAATTATAAATTAGTTTAACAACCACAATGCTTATCATAACTGGCTGGGGAGGGGCGGTAATTTTAGAATATATATTTTCTAATTTAAAAAAAGAAATTTGGAAGAATTCAGAGAAAAAGCATGACGTGATAATCGTGTCAGTAATTAAAGTTATTAAAGAGAAAAACTGTTTAGCTAAGTATTACAAATGATCAATATCTGAGTAGTATTTGTTGCTGATTGTGTTTTCTACAGATGGTTGGATTGGCTCAGGGATGTTTTGATAACACTATTCCATACCTGAAGCAGCGAGTTCAGTTTGGGAAAAGGATTTTTGATTTCCAGGTACATCTAAACTAACCTGTGGCCAGCCCACGGAGAAAGCAAAGCTCACTCCCAAGTCTGGATTCAAACCTTGTTTGCAGAGGTGAAAGGAGAGTGTAATAACTGTATCCTTTAGTCGTTTTGTGATATGATGTTCATCTTAAAAGGCTGCAGATTAAAATATGAAAGGTAATAAAAATAATCCTTGCATTTGGTATAGCACCTTATCACTTTGGTACAGCGCCTTACAATGTCCTCCTGATGTGAAAGTTGCTTTACAACTGTAATTTTGTTGTTATCGGGTCATTTAAACGTCCCAAAGCGCGTCACTGAATATATTTAAAATTAATTGACTATATTTTGTGGGCCAAATGAACACTTGTATACTTTTAAAAAAGGATTTTAGTTCTTTCTCTTAAAATGTAGGCAAGGTTATGTTATTGAAATGTGTCTGTTGCACTTTAGTAGCAAAATTATTTTTCTACTGAAATTAATAAAATGATTTTGATGATTTGTGCAGGGCATGCAGCATCAGATTTCTCAGGTTGCGACCCAAATTGAAGCTGCACGACTGCTAACCTACAATGCTGCTCGACTGAAAGAAACAGGGAAACCCTTTGTTAAGGAAGCCTGCATGGCAAAATATTATAGTTCCGAGGTAAGACAGCCTTTAGAAACCCTAAACTCATAATGGTAAACTCTCAGCAGTTTGTAAGGTAAAACCATAATGCTAAATGAGATAATATAAGCTTACGTAAAACATTTCCTTCACTCATAAAATATGTTGTGCAGAGCTGAGGAAACAGCATGGTGTAGCGCATTAAGAGTTTGAAATATTCTGTCTAACAGAATAGTAGAATCTAAGTTTGAATCGTTCATTTCCCTCAAGGTCAGTAATTCAATCACAAGAAAACCAAACTGAGTGAAGTAATTTCCCTCTGGAGGGAAGGAAAGTCCAAGGGAGCTTCCTACAGTTCCAAATGGTTGATTTAGTAACATATGTTCCATATTTTTAAATGTTAACAAAATAAATCTGAGACTGCTGAATAAAACTGAAATCAGATAGGGATGTATAAATCTAAATAAATTGTGTGGCCACAATGCCAACCCCTCAAGTGGCCACAATAGAACAGTTCCACTGTATAGACCTTACCTCAGAGTCAGATTATTGTGGGTTCAAGTTTGACATGTCGTAATGTAGATTAACACTTGCACAATTTCAAAGTAGAACTGGAAGTTATTTCGGCGTCCTGGCTAATACTCCTCCTTCATACAAAGTTTTAAAAAAAAAAAATTATTTATTGACCTTTGCTTGATGTTGTTATTGCCTATTAGCTACAATATTAGCTGCATGGCACTGCACTTCAAAGTACTTAGATGTGAAAACCTGAGATTTTTGACATAAGACAGGCACTGTATCAAATCTAAATATTTATTACTGAAGATGATGAGATGGACTTTGTTTAATTTATTGTTTCTGGTTTATAGGTAGCAGCTTTAGCATCTTCAAAGTGTATTGAGTGGATGGGAGGAGTTGGCTACACCAAGGATTATCCCATAGAAAAATACTATCGAGATTCCAAAATAGGTGATTAATTTTAAACTGCTTTTTTCTCATTTGCCAATTGCAGGAAAGTATTTAATTTTAAAAGGAACAATACAGATAAACCTAAGAAGATTTAATATCCTTTCACAAGGAAAGAAAAATTTCCCCCCTCAAGTTCCACGTTTTTGGATGGAAATGTTTAAATGAGGAAAGTTCATATTCAATATTATTTGTGGGGATAAGTAGAGATATTGAAAACACCTAATATCCAATTCTAAGTGATCGTACAACTTCAGGATATGACCCTTATAAGTGGTTAAAAGATTAGGATTGCTGTAATTTTATTTTACATTTTAGATTTAATCTGTCAGATTTCAATTCACTCTGTCCTTGTATGGCGTTGCCATCTCAATATAATGGTACAGAAAACTACCGAGGAGTAAAATTAGCTTCTGTATCAAAATGATTGTACATATGATCTTTTTCCTTCTCTGTGCTAGGTGTAACCATATTTATTCTCCTCTTTCAGGTTCAATATATGAAGGAACTTCAAACATTCAACTGAATACGATTGCAAAATTGATAGATCAAGGATTTTAAAGCTGCTATATGTTATGAGCAGCACCAATGATTTCTTAATGTAGCACTTCAGATTGCCTATCAATTCTGACAACATAAATGATGCTTCAGATAAATTCTTGCTCTCTATAGTACTATTTCCATTCGTTTCAGTATAATTTGACATGTAAGATCAAATCCTGAAGTATACCTGCTTTCTGAAAAGCTTTCTCATGATTCTACATTAACTTTTTAGTATTGCCTGTGCTCAAGTAGATAGCTTAATTAATTATCCTATTGTTATACAGCAACAACTTGTATTTGCGTACAACTTGTGTTTGTGGTATAACTATTTTCCTGTGTAATATTTGTAAAGACAGCTTTAGTGATGGCACTAACTTTTTGTTTAATACGCATTAATTTCTCTCTTAAAATCAAATCCTGCTTGATTATGTTGTTTGTTTTTCATCCTTCTTGGAAAATCAAAATTGATTAAGAGGTCTCCACTTATGTACCTTTATCTACAGTGTTGCATACAAAATGTCAACATTTTTGGCTTAGTAAAATGATGCCATAAATTCACTTATGGATTTTAATAAATGGAAAACAGTTTGTTATAAATCTATTATTACAAATTTCTCATTCGGTGGTTGAGCCAGCGGCAGTAGTGTTTGTCTTATGGGAAGGAGCATGCACTTGTACTCTATAGTAAAAAAAATTGATATAGATGTTAATACCATGCTTTAACTAATAATCCATGTCCACCTACACTCTTGTAGCTAATTAGATATAGTCCATTGATATTAAAAACAAGGTTGCAGGTAAAGTTGTTAAACCTGTGTTCTAACCTCACCACTATAGCATAGTACAAGCTTGACATGGCAAGGCATGCTAGTTAATCAGCTTTAGGTAACTTATTGCTTTCCCTTGTTTTAATCGCTCTGATTTAAAGAGTTTACATAGCACGCTCGATTGCTGCTGAGAGCATTGGTTAATACCCTGTCAAGTATGTTCCAGTAAATTGAGAGCAGACTTGCTACTGTACCTCATGAACTTTTCAAATTTCATCTTGTGATCACTGACTCTAAGATACTCCCCAACTTCAGCTGGGTTTACCTTACCAGGCGCGTTTCCCATGATTAGATCCACAATAGCTACTAACTTTGTTGTTTGTTCAAGCTGGGAAGGATAGCAATCCATCACTATCTCTTGTAAGATGGACCCTTCCTAAGTTTTTTTTTCACACTGCTATCACCTCAGTCAATATCTAGGTAATTGAAACTCCCCATGATCAACGTTCTGACATTCAACTTTCTGTTTCACAACCTCCCTCATCTGAAAAAAACATTGTCTGCACTGTGTTCTGCTCTTGTCTAGTAGGTCTCAACAATATCCAAGAATCACCTTCCCTTTTTTTAAGTCCTCAACTTCAATCCAAACTGCCTGCCTCACCTGTCTCAGTGAAACACTCATGTGGCTTATTTCAGTTGTCAAAAAAAATCTTCCTGTGTCCATATTGCAACTATTTCTTCTACTTTATTGTACCTGTTTCTGCTATAAACTACTCTCCAGCCATCTTAATCTCAGTCAATGTCTTGCTTTAATAAAGTCTTGTGCTTCACCCATGGCCTCCGACATGAACTTGCACTGGTTGCTGCAACACTTATCTATACAGACCAGTAGGTTACAAATTCAAGTTGTGCACTGTTTATCAGGTTATTTATCAGCCTCAGCCCCGAGGCTCTGGAACTCCATCCCCCAGTGCCTTCGCCGCTTCCTCCCTTTCCTCCTTCAAGGCCGGTCTCAAAACCTTTCTCTTTGACCGTGCCTTCAGCTCCCCTCTCGACTCTCTTCCCCCTCCTCGCTCCCTCCCTTCCTTCCCCTCACCCTGACCATTCCCCCCTCCTCGCTCCCTCCCTTCCCTCACCCTGACCATATCCCCCCTGCTCGGGTCATGACCCAACTGTGCAGCGCCTTGGGACGTCCTCCTGACGTGAAAGGCGCTTTATAAATGGAATCTTGTTGTTGTTGTTGTTGTTATTTGATAGGAACTGGGACAATAGTTTAAACACTACAATTGGCTTCTGTGCCTGTGGGAAGGGAGGAAGAATCAGCCAGAGTTCCTACTATTTAGAGGAAAAAGTCTCTTATTCTAATTACATTGCATCTTACAATGCAACTTTTATTGACATTTCTCATTTTTCTCCTGTTCCCTCAAATGTGCAACATGTATACATAACCTGGTTTCTCAAGGATAATGTACATTAAAGCAACTCTTGGTGCTCCTATGATGTAGATTTCTAGGCTTTATTTTAATGGTTTGGTTTTTACTGGTTAATATGCCTATATTCACCTTGACATTCACTGCATCTATCTGCAGGGGTACTCACTCCAACTCGAGGAACGAGTGTGGAACCCAAGTTCTTGACTTGACAGCAATGTTCCCTGCCTCCACCACTACCCCTCCCTTCAGGTTCTTGAAACCCTCATCCACAGACTCATCTATTAACACTGCACTTACCAGACTCCCCAGCCCCTCCCTACACATGCTGCAAATCATCCAGAACTCTGTGGCCTATGACACCTACTGTACCAGGCTCTGCGAGCCCATCACCTCCATCCTCGCTCAGCTCTGCTGGTTCTTAGTAAAATTCAAGATTCTTATCCTCACTTTCAAATGCCTCCATGACTTTGCTCCATCCTTTCTATGACCTCCTGCAACACCATTCCTTCAGCCACCTCCTCCACTGGCGTGCTTCACATTCATTGAGTGAGCCTTTAATCACTGCAACTATTCATTGGAACCCGCCTTGAAGCCTATCTATTTGGACACCTTCCCCTCCTCAATCTCAATTAGTGATGCTTAGTTCTAAGTCTGTATTTGTTTGCGACACTTTTTTGCCGAGAAGTTAAAACAGCTACTTGAATGAATGTACCATTGTACTGTACCAAATTTTCATAGGGAGTTGGTTTCTCAAAATGTTTGCAATAAATCTTAGTGATCTATTTTCCATATTACTGGCATGTCTAAAGACACTACAATCTTTATCAACTAAGATCGTAAGACAGGTTCAGGTGATGAACACCTTCAGCCCATTTGATCTCATCCTTCCACTAATATACAGTAATAACATGGAGTCCTGTAGCTCAGTGGTTAGAGCACTCGCCTTGCAAGTGAGACACCTGAGTTCAATTCCAGGCAGAGGGCGAAACCTTGGGCAAGTTTCCTTACTCCACACACCTAATAATAATCCCTCCAAAAGAAAACAATAATACATTGGTCATTTTCAATCCATGACTGTTTGTGGGACACTGCTGTGCGCAATTGGCTGCCGCGTTTCGCCCACAAATATACGGTCAATTCACTTTACACTCTATTCTGTGAAGCGCTTTGAGATGTCGAGAAGACATGAAAAGCGCTATATCAAATGCAAGGATTATTATATATTATAACATAACTAAAAAATTGGAACACATTGGAATCAGAGAGTGTTTATAATGCTTCAACTGTCTGGGACATTGAGACGTCGTAATTTTTCAATGATTAAACAAAGATTTATCTTGATACCACACGTATAATTTCAATTCATGTGTGTACTATATGGCGTTGGTTAATGAAATTAATATTTGACAAAGGTTTAATAAATGATGTGTATGTTTTTCAGCGCAGTACGGGTAAAACTTTGAGGTTCTCCTCTGCATTATGTCTAACTACAGTTGAGCACTGGGTGGCACTGTTATCCATGTAATCAGAAAGTGGTACCTGTACAGTCATTTTTTTTCCCCAGGCCAATAAACATCTTGAAAGATTTTTATTCCACTTCTGTTCAAGTGCTTTATGTGTTTTTTTTTTAACCAGCTCCGAAACAGCTACCTCATTTGAGTTTCAAATAAATTATACAAATACTAATAATTCTTGCATTTGATATAACGCCTTATCACATTGTTGAGACGTCTCGAAATGCTTCACAGGATATACTGTAAAGTGGATTGACCATGTATTTTGTGGGCGAAAGTGTAATTGACAAATTTATTTGGTTAGATTTCATAATGATAATAATTCTTGTGTTTGGTATAGCGCCTTATCACATCATCGAGAAATCTCAAAGCACTTCACTGGATATACCGTAAACTATTTTGTGGACAAATGCGGCAGGCAGTTTGGACACAACAATGTCCCACAAACAGCCGTGAGTGAGTGACCAATTTTCTTTGGGAGGTTGTTGGCCAGGACATCGGGAGAAACTCCCTTCTTTTTACAAATAGTGCCACGGCATCTTTAACGCCCACCTTAATGGACAGAAGGGACTTTGTTTATTGTCTCATTAAAAGGATGGCACCTCCGACAAGGCAACACTCCCCCAGCACTGCATTGGAATGTCAGCTTGGACTATGATCCCAAGTCCTGACATGTGAGTTTGAACCCACAATCTTCTGAGCACTCTGGGATGCTATCGTGGTTGAAGGGTGCTATATAAATGCAAGTTGCTGTTGAGTGGGTAAGTCTGATGCAGGATTACACACTCCATTTAGATGAGGTTACGGAGGGGCGAAACTCAGCACCTTCAGGAGAAAATTAGCAAAACAAAATTCTTCACTGTGCAGGATGTAATTCCCAAACATTTTATTGCTGCTCAGCAAAATGCTCCTGAGAAATAAAATTACAACTAAATCAAGGTATTGCTTTTGAAAATGCATCAGACTATGAGAAATGTGGGGACTATTTCTCCCTCATTGACTTAGAAACAGTGTTCAATCATACTTCTGAATTGGCTGTTAATACTCCACTACAATTTCTCTTACGTCTTTCTGTGCAGAATCAAATGCATAACATATCTGTGCTCTAGTTATACAATATTAATGCACACAAAACAAGATTTCTAATAGCAACAATTCACTGGAAGTGGCCACAAGGTTAGCACAGCCAAAGAAAAAAATTAAACAATAATTATGATTATGGCACTGTTCGGATATTACATAGTAGAGGAATGTTCAATCTACCTGAACTGGGCTGTGAAACTCTTCAGTAAGTAAGTTCAGTGCATGCTTCATGGCATTAAAGCCATTGAACACTACAACCGTGAAAAAGGTTTTCTGGTCTATCAGATGAAGGCTTCTCAAATCATAGATAGAAATCAAGTGCCAGATTTGAAAAATGAACATGTGTAAGTATCCACTTATCTGGTGTTAATGTATGGTATCATCAGGCTTTGTCAGTATATTCCGGATTTTTAAGATGCCGGATAGCGAGGATAAATTGCTAATACTTCACCATATTTCACATTGAGCAAATGCCTTGAAAGAAGACAAAATGTCTGTCGAGTTTACATTATGTTGATTTGTGTTAAGGTATCCTAAAGGGTGCAGTTTTCGATTTATTGATGTTAGCAGGGAATGTTCCCACTGCTTTCACCAGCTCTACAGGAAATTGTGATAATTGACTGATTTGCCATCTAGCATGTAAACCCCTCTGTGTGCAATACTGGAAAAGAAAAGGGAAAAATCATCATAGTTAAATTTAACATTTTGACTCATAAACAAGGAAAAAGGTAAATAATCCTGTCACCTATTCAAATACAGGATTTTCTGGAAAAGAAGCCTTTGTACTTGCACTGTAGTTTATCCTTTGGAAAGTTTGTAAGTTGTAGATTTGTGGTTTTTAAAAAACAATAAGAATGTACAAGTTAAAACCGGGGAAAATGTGTGATATGCGGATCTAAACACAATATTGGAATAATGTTATAGTAAATGATGTTTCTTATTCTATAGTGGGGATGTTAATTTCACTACCCATACATTCAATGCTGAATCATTCAATGCTGTGAAAGTTTACTCAAGCTGATTATTGTTTCCATTTATCAACTAAAAATCTTCAACCATGTGTGTTGCTTAAGTATAATTACAGTAGTCTTTGCTGTTTATACTACAATGAAATAAAATAAAATAAAACAAAGGCAAAATAATAAGAGGAAAAAGCAACAGAACAGGTTTCAAAAAAGGAAGAGAAAAAAAAGAAAGGAAATTTGTTTGAAGGGTCTAAACAATTGAAAATGGAAAGTGTGAGAACTCTATCCAACGACAAACCTCCATACAAAAGGAATTAATGACAAAACGAGGAGAAAGAACATGAAAATTAGATAAAGATAGATAAAAGTGCAACAAATAAAATGAAGCAAAGACTTACAAACGAAAGTGAGAAATAGGATATGAATTGGATGGGATGAATGAGTATTTCATATTTTATTATTTAAATCCACAGAAAAAAATAGAACCTGCTGGGACACATATCAATTTGATTCACAAGATTGTTTTGGATAATGAAAGACCTTTTTTTTTCATTCTTCCAACCTACCATCTTCCCAGATTAGTTCAACGTCTTTTGCAATTGATCCTGTTTATGTTATTCACCTCCAACATGGCTTGTAAATCCTGCATTGCATGAAATGCTCAACTCAAGTCACTTACAAATAATGTTGCTCAGATATTTATTGAACCATAGACATCACTTACAGCAGATGGTACTCTCCCCCCCTCCCCCATTTATCATCTCTTTATGCTTTGTTAAATTATGTTTTAATCCCACTAGCATGCATGCCATTAATTTAATGAGCTTCTACCTCCTT